GAAGAACTGGCTTCGAGAGCACTGCGATTATACTTTCGAGACTCTCCGGGAGAACATGCCGAAGGCACTTCGGTCAGTGTCAGTTGAGCTGATCCGAAAATGGGAGCATCGGGCTTGGAGGTTTGTTGACGCATATGCTGAGGGCCTCGGAGCGCGGGAGGCACAGCAGAAAGTGAAGGAATTCAGTTCGCGCAGGTATAAGTCCCACCGCCGTATCCCGGAGCAGCTGGCACAGGCGATGGACGCCACGTAGCATTATGTAATATTACCTCTTTAGTAAATAAACGCCCGTGTCACGTGCTGCGGCCTTACTAATGAGGTCAACTTTGCCAGTTTTGACCCGATCGAAAATCGCGTTTAGGGATCAGTCCCTCTATTCAAATCCTTACAATTGACAGATTATGGGAGGGTTTCATAACAATCTAAGTGACTTGTAAGGCGGCGCTTAAGAGCGTACAAAAGTGGATGCCACTAATTGAACTGCACCATATAACCCTGACCTTCAGGTTAAAAACAGTAGAAAATTTGTAGCCATGACGACAGTGGGATTCGAACCCACGCCCGTGAGGACCAGATAAGGAATAGATGTTTAAATCCTCCTGATTCTGGCGCCTTAGACCGCTCGGCCATATCGCCATAGTGGTTTGTAGCTTACACATTGGATTATTCGGTTGTGCTTTTCGTGTCCACTCCCTTTCAGCCCGAGTCGAAGCTCCGAAGTACTATGTCGACCAGAAGGTTTCACTTCGTATACTAGTATAGACCCTTTGACGACGACAGCACAGATAGGCTCCACAACATATGTCTTCTTCAACCATCCTCCAATTGAACCAGCTTCCCACCGACGTCCTGTTGCATATCTTTGTGTACCTCGAGATCGCTGATGTCGTGCGTCTCAGGAAGGTTTGTCTGCATCCGCTCATCTAGTGGCGTGACTCCAACATATATCCGATATAGACATGCAAAGCCCTCGAGGCCGTAACTCGCGACCGTAGTGTCTGGCACGAAGCCTTATCTACACGCTTTATGCATAGCGGCATCCCCGTACCCGGCGTCCAACTTCGAGATGACATCTCCTCTCTTTCCGCCACGGAGCTCGAGCGATTGGCAATCCGAGCGAGCCGCTATTGGGCCAACTGGACTTCCCCACAGCCTCAATGCTATACCCGCCTCGACATCCGGCCGACACCAAGGCCTTGGTCCTCCTCCCCGAGCCACCGCACCCTGGCGATCGAATTCGTCACCAGGCGGAGCTGCCTCTACCTGCTCACCTTGACTCTCTGTACTGTCTCATCTGGCCGTGATAACCGCAGATTTGCCTTTGAATGCCGGGATCTCCAACAAGGTCAAGCTCTCGGCCACGCGAACAGGATCGCAGAGCTGCTCGTCTCCGGCTTGTTGAGTTATTCGGTCGACCCTACGCCGAACAGCAAGCATCTTCTCGCCGTAACCAGCCGCGACGCAGATGGCACGTAGGTGTTTTCCCGTCCCGCCGTGGACGCTCTCCGCTCACCACATCCATCCCTGCGCTTCACCTCGTTCTGGTAGATATCTCACTACAACGTACACGATAGACTTTACCACCCCGAACACGGATCCATGGTTTCGACGGACTAGCCAATTCCTGAGCTATCGCAGGATACTCGGCTTCATGGGCTCTCGTCTCGTTGTGACGGACGACGACAACAAAGTCCGTGTAATCGACATCGACGCCGGCGTTGTGGTCGTCACGCTCAACGTCCCACTGATACACGCAGACCCGACTCTGCGCCTTCCCGTGCGTAGTTCATCCTGCAGGCACCGGTCCATTGGGATAGAGGCAGGCTAACGAGTGTTCGCCTATATTGCTCACGTTAGGAACAACAATGCCTCGAATACGAGGTCTTCGATGATTTTATCATCACATTCTGCAAGCAATGGATATACTTGTACCACGTACCCACTCTGTCCTCGTCGATGTTCTCCGGCAGCACTCAGGAGGACGGTGTTGCGTCCAGTCCCACTCTCGAACCCATCGCGCAGTACAAATGGCGCTGGCGTATCGACAGCATCTCTATCAACGCCCGCCGCCCGCGCCCCAGCGCCTCCTCCCCGCCGCCCCCGCCAGCGATCGACCTTCTCGTCCGCTTCGACACCTGGTACCCCTGGCCAGTCAACATCCTGCACCACTTCGTGCTCCCCCCGAGCGCGTCCTTCGCCCGCGCGGCGTTCGCCCCCGCCGCCCCTCCGACGTTCCCCTACCTCCCACCGGCCGCGGATGGCCCGCTGATGGCGCACGCGATCCCATCGCCCTTGCGCCTCTTCACGCCGTCGGACATGGTGCTCGCGCCGCGCGGCACCGCGCTCTGGCTCGACGCGTCGACGGACGCGACGACGCCCTCGCAGGCGGGCGACCACGGGCAGCGCATCGCGAGCCGGATCCTCGCCCGAGCGTCCCCGTCGTCTTCGCTCCCCTCGAGCCTGACGGGGTTTCGCAGGACGGCCACGGATGCGGGGGCGCCCGGGGCGCAGGACGACCAGGTGAGCCCGGGGACGGAGGTCGACCTTGCGCTGGTGCGGGTGATGGCGCTGGAGGCGGAGAGCGGGGCGCTGGCGGAGGATCAGGACGTGAGCGTGCTGCATGTGCAGGAGACACACGAGCTGTGGAATAGGATCGCGGTGGACGAGGAGGAGGGGATGGTTGCTGTGGGCCACGTGGATGGCCGAGTATCGGTGTTTGTGTATGCACCACCTGAATAGAGGTGCACGTAGATGTTTGTGGTAAGAGTTTGCTTCCAGTCTCGCCAATGTGACCGTGTACTTCTATGTGAATATATATCGAGGCCTGTCGGATCGAGCCTCGGAGACAATGGATCACGCCTAAGTCAACGGTTTGCGATATGCACGAGACGTACCCCTGCATTTCGATGCGAAGAGTCACTTAATAATAATTAAAAAAAGGACAAGAATAAATATTGAGACCCGTAGGTCTACCACTCCGGGAAAGCGTGTCATCCTTGTGCAGGGGCCATGCTAATCTTCTCTGTATCGTTCCAATTTTTTCGTATGTCACCCCGAAGGGGACACTTGTTGGTGAAGGTACAAAAGCATGGAGGTCGCATCTTCCGCGTTTTGCTCAAGTCGCGGGTGCCTGTGCTTGTCGCAGCCGAACACGAGGGCGATTGGATGGCTTGGCGTTAGCGGTCTGCCGATCGGCATCACTCGGACGGCTGCAGATACGATACCCAACAATGTTGATTACATACTGCACTTGCATTCGACGCTGAACATAAGCAAAATCTGCTATGGCTACAACATTAAGACCAATCCTGGCTACATTGTTCGTTGATATCAGAATGCAAAACCGATATATCACCGTCTAAGCAGACGCAGCCCGCAGCCCATGCTGTTTACGGACCCGCTTTACGGGTTGCTTCCGAGTCCGTGGTTGTCCTTGGGTCTCCTCGGCATTCCCGGGGTGGTATGGGGCCCTCGGATCGCCAACGCATCTCCCTCTCGACCTGTTCAGATGCCTCATGTAGACATCCTTGCGACAGAAGGTGCCGCCGCACCCTCCGATCATGACAACACCTCGGCACTCGAAATGCCTGGCGTTGCCGTGGATGTTGTACTTGTGTGCATCGCTCATAGACACGCCCCAGCAGATGTACCTTGTAACCTTTTTGTGGACGGACTTGAGGTGCCGGACCATGTCCAGCTCGCGGTTGTAAAGTTTGGAACAGATCGGACACGGAACGCTTTGTGTGATCGGGGGTCGCGGGGGGGAGCACAGCTGAATCGTGCTGCCTTGTCCCTCGAGCTTGACATTATCACTCGTTCCATTGGCCTGGTGGTCCGACTTGGAGGCGTCGGGGAAAGCACGGCGGCGGGACTCGTAGGGGGCTCCAGCCCTCAATTTAGAGAATGACAGCGTTCCTGAGCCGTGCGCATGAGCATGGTGACGATGTTCTTGTTGGTGTAGCGCTAGCTGGAGGCCATACTGCTGGGCTTGGGCAGGAACAGCAGGGAAGGGAGAGATCCTGGAGGGAACCGCGAGACGCGTCGTGGCGTGGGTATAACGCGTGACGTCACACCCCGAGGACGCGCCTGTCACAATCGCGGTGGACGGGCCCCAGGGGATTGTGGCGGGCGAGAACGACCGTATGCTGCTGCGAGGGTCAGGCGTGGAGTCAGACGTGTTTCAAACCGGATTGTGTCGGGATTGACGTACGAATGACAAGGAGCCTCCCCTGGGGCGAAGTAGGGGATAGAGTATACGGATTCTGGCGTACTCAGGCTGACGCTGGCAACACCAGCCGGTGAGCCCAAGCCAGACTCCGGGGTCGAGAGCGCAGGACAAGGGGATGCGATGTTCATGCCGCAGTAGTATTGTTCGTACTGAGGCGTATCATACATAGCGACGCCTTGAGGAGAAAAACTTGCCATGGGACGGCCCGTCTGGCTCTCTGCATCTCCATTGAACAAGGATACGTACCTCAGATCGCTACATACACCTCCTATACTCCACGTTTGGAGTGGTAAGCTGTCTAGCCACTCCAATGCTTCCTTGTAGGCGAGCTCGTCGTCCTTCGCGTCGTCGAATCCAGACGTGGGCGCGAGACTCGGCGATTGTGTGGTTGAGTTCGACGGAGTGAAGGCCGCTATGCCCCCGTTCAGTGCTATGTTTACAAACATGAATGGTGTATGACGAAAAAGTGGGCAGATGTTGTATCACAGTGCACAACGCGTGGAGGACTGGACGGAGTGTATGGAAAGGGTGAATGAAGCAGTATAGTGCTGCAGCCGCTGAAAGGCTCCTGGCCACTCACAACACGAGTGTGGCCCAACAGACGTCCATTGGTTCGGGGCTGCATAACTAATCCTGGTACACCCTTACTAGGGCCTGCGATGTAAGCCGACCTAGGTACGCCATGCGGCATGCCTGCAGGTCGATCTAATCAGGAGAGTTTCCTTTGTCCTGCTGAACGTGCGTCGCCACTCCCTATAAAAGGCTGCAGCTCGCGGTGCAGCGATACAAGCTTTTAGAACGGACGAGTCAGCGTTCAAACCACCGAAGCACCACAGAATGTACGTACAGCTTTCTGCAACAGATACGTTGCGCACCTCGGTAGCGGAGAAGATGTTAGCCTATGCTGGTGCGGTAGCGCAATTGTTGAAAGCAGCACAAATTAGGCAGGAGCCGCAGAACTAGCTTGGCTTAGTGCCTAGGACAGAGAGGCAGTCATCGAGCCGCATATAGCTTACGAGGACTCCTTTCAGGCTGTGTTCTCGCTGGAGCCTGTCATACCCTGTACCCCGAAGGCCTTCCTATGGGGTGCCAATGCCTGCGCATCCACAGTGATCGATGAACCGACGTCCGGGTGTCTTCGGATAGCTATGCACTGACCAGCCTCCATGTACAGGTATGATCGAGTGGTCCCGGCATTATCGATGATGGACGTAGATGAATTGATTTGCCGGAGGTACGAACGGAGGAGGGTCGGCAAAGAGGGTGGATGGTATTTCGCTTCCGTCTAACTCATGTACGAATGGATAAATGGCACAGCCCAACACTGGCCCTATATTGGTTGGATGACTCGACCGCCAAACCTAAAATCAAGGTAGACATCGCATACCTATAAGTGGGGCAAAGACATGAAGGGCTGCTGAGCGGCGAGACTGTTCGAGAGCTCCCAGCTCTCACCATCCCAGCAGTTGGTATTTTAGGCGCAGTGTGTGTTTTTGTTGACACCAGTAACTGTCGACCGCGTAAGCAGCACCAGCCGAGTCCAAGAGTGGCGAAGGCCTCCCCGTCCTCACGAGCACGATCAGGACGTATAGCACAACGCCAGCACGTTCGTGAGAGCCCGTAAGCGGCACAGGTACAGCTTATGCACTACTCTGTCGTCAAAGTCAACCTCGAGAGAAGATAAAGGAAGCTATGCTAGCGTTGTAATGTCTTAGATGAAGTCTGCTGTCAGAGGTATACGTGAATGCCTACCGCAGCCACCGATGACAGGAATAGGGTCTTCATCAGCTGCACGAAGTATCAGAGAACCACATGAGCAGAGTCGCTTACAAGCTAGTCCGTGCCGGTTTTGATGCATATGATGAGAGTGAAATGCGAGTTGACGACGAGATCGTGGACTGGGGCGGGGCCGTGGCAAAGCTCAACACAACACAAGCGCCCAGTTGGTCCAGGGGCCCGGCCCGCTTTGGCAGAGTCCTGCAGGCTACTGCATGGTCTCCCGGGTTCGACTCGAACGAGCGTCGAGTGCGGCTACTTGTCTCAGGACGACCTCATCCTCTCTGAAAGATAGTAAGCACTGTACTTATGACGCGTTTCCACAGGTCTCATAACTTGACTTATGCTATCACAGTGGCGGAACCTCTGGAGACTGGCACGGACGGCAATCGAGAATCGACGGACAACGACCAGAAGATGCAGGGGTCTTCATCTGGCCACCATGAGGGACCTCAGCTCAAACCTTCCCCTCCTCCGCCTCGTAAGGCAAGTCCGCCGTTTGACAAGGCGTCCGCGGACCTCGTCCTACGTACATCGGATTACGTAGACTTCCACGTCTGGAAGTGTATCCTAGCCCTAGCCTCCCCTGTTTTCGAGGACATGTTCGAGCTGGCGGAGCATGGCAAGCGATCAGAAGGAAAGACGGCCGAAGGAGCGGAATGCACGTCTTCCACACCCTCTTCAGCTTCCGTCATTGAAGTCCCGGAAACCAGTTCTGCGTGGACGCTACTCCTCCGCTGGATCTATCCTTCCCGGCCTTGCCATGATCCCCTGCCGCCATTTCTGCTCAAGACAGCCCTCGCAGCTGCACACAAATATCAGATGGATGGCGTCGTTTCGGCGATCGGCGTTATTCTGGTGAAAAATCAGGTCGTGTGGTTGCCACAACAAATGTACGCCATCGGAGCTCGCTACGGTTTGACGAACATCATGAACGCCGCAGCTCATCGCTTCCTCACTCTTTCCACATCTGACGCCAACACTTATGTCGAAGAACTCGAAGACATAAGCGGCGGCGCCTACCACCGCCTCTGTGAATATCGACGACAATGCATTGCGACGATATCTGAAATGACGACTGGCTTGGACTGGCTTCGAGATGACGTATGGTGTTTCAAGAAGACGCTAGTCGGTTGCAATTGCGGTACAGACTCGAGTAACAAGCATTATCGCTTCAGAGACTCCGATGTCGAGCACGTTTTGAGCGCATGGTTCACGGGATACTACGAACAGATCGGTTCACGGCTGAAGAACACGCCGAGTCAACGAGTCCTTCAGGATAACGCCTTGTATGAACAAGCTTTGAAAGAGGCCACCAAGTGTTCGATTTGTAGGGAGGTGGTACACAATCACATCCGTCTCTTTCGAGATGCTCTGGAAACAGAGATAAGCGAGAGAGTCGAGCAAGTATGTGGGAATTATACCGCTTTGTCTATCCTGGTTCTGATCATATTTTAACAGGTTTCGCTCGAAATCAAATGACAGGATCCTGGCTCTTGTACGTCGCGCGCCATCGTCTCATCGCAATCGATGGTGTGTGCAAGCGCTACATAGTGATGAAACTTAGTGCTATACATGAAATGCGTGGCGTGCATGTATGGACGTAGTACAACCTCGGGTCGGATCGTTCCGACTCACCATTCCCCCACTCCACTGGTACAGCGACGGACGATTGCTCGAGCCTCGTCGAATGTCTAGAACAGAACAGAATTGCATTATGTAGGTCAGGCATTCAAGATAGTAACAACTTCCCACACGTCGATATTCCGTCGGAGATATGCAACGCAACATGATCGATCGAGACAAATGTGGCAACAACCTTACGAAACTACAACAAACAAGTCTGTCAACCAAGAACACAGCAATACACTACCCAACACTGCCGCGACAGTAGACGTGGAAGACAATTCAATCATCGTCACCAATGACGTGATTCGCGGGTTCGATGTCCGCCGCGGGGACCGGCGCATACCACTTGTTGGCGGAGGTTAGTTCGATGGCGCCGTCCTCCTTCCCAGAGGCTGCGGCGTTGCGCCCGCTCGTCGCATATAGGTGAATAAGGGAGACGACAAGGGAGTATATGACGAATGCGATGCTGCAAACAAGCGACGTTCCGGGCTAAGTTAATCTCGAACGGACGTCGCGCGGAGAATGCAAGCGCACCTGAACATGATGAGGATGTACGTTACATGGTCCATGCCCTGATCGTTCACGAAGTGCAGCTCCTCATCCGTGGCGGACATGAAGAGCAGACCCGAGGCAACAAGGAGCTAGAACGGTCGCGTGAGAAGGGCATATAGCTTGTCAAAGCGCGCGCACTCACGAAAGGGGGCAGATGCCTGAACGCGCGCGATGGGCTGGTGATGCCATTCTCGTCGTGACTCGCGTCTAACGTGTGTTCGCTGTGTGCATCACCCTCGGGGGCGTCCTGACTGTACTTCGGGGCGACGAAGCAGATCTCGATGATGCGCGCTAGACCTGCAGACATGAGAGTGTATCCGAAGACGGCATGGACCTGCAGCCAAGATATGAGGCATGTGTATCGGCTAAGCAGGTACAGCGAGGCACAAACCTTCGTCGAAAGCATGAGAGCTTGTGCGTGATCGGACATGGCCCATCCCGTAAGGATGATGCTAGAGACAGACGATGGTTACTATGTTGACTTAAGACGGAAGAACTCGACTACTAACATCAACGCAGGCACGACAGATCTCTGGGATAGAGGTTAGAGAGGAATATCGTGCAACTAAATGTCGTACGTACCTGGTTGTTACGGGAAAGGAAGATTCCAAGTATACCTCCCGCCCACCCTATTAGACGTCAATCTAAAATTCGCTCATATACGACACAGACGCACACAGAACACCCAAGATTCTGCATGTATGAGTCAGCGCAAATATCAGTCTGAACAGGGAGCCACGACATACGTATGCTGCATGTCCTTGACGGACCAATGGGTTCCACGGTGTTCAGTGAAGGTGTTGACTGGATGCTATGGCGTAAGCCAAAAATATCTCCAGCTAGAGCTTTGCAGTACGCACCAATACCCTGCAATGCCGGCCGACAGTCAATGAGAAGGAACACGGTAGCACTTGACAGTCGAAAACTCACCCAAAGCATGATGACCCATGAATCCCACCAGTCGGGACTACGGCCGCTGCGGCGCACCCATGATTCGCCCGCGAGTAGGAATATCGCCATGATCGTGCCATACGCAATGAAGCCGCCCCCCTGACAACACATGAGTGTAAATTCGAGTCACCAATCACTTAGATGTACCATGATGTAGTGCGCAAGACACTGTCCGAGGTTTCCGCCGCGGCAGTACCCCCCGAACGTGATCGCACCGAACAGCATCTGCACCCATCCCAAGATGGGATATGCCTTTCCAACGACACCATGTAGCCTCACTGCCCAAGGCCGCAGCGTCTGCTCGTGAATGTGTAGCTTGAGGTAGATGCCGAGGAAGAGTTGTAGGGCGATCGGTACGAAGAGGATGCTTGCCATCTTCCCGTGCGCCCCCGCCAGGAACGCCCTCCCTTTATGTGAGTGACCGAGGATATAGCCCGCGATAGTCAGCGCGAATCCTGCGCTCTGCACGAACGTTACGGAGATACGACCGTCCAAAGGGTTACCGGCATACCTGTAATGGTACGTGCCATCTACTCCGCGACAGTCCGAGGACCATCCCTGTCGGGAATATAACTCCCCATACAGCGGCTTGCAGGAATATGTGCAACCAGAGGACAGTGTCTATCGGCGCGTTTCGCTCCTCTTCAGAGAGTTCGTTGTGGTGCTCGTGACTGAGGACAGATGTAGCCAAAAAGAGGAGAGACAAGACGGTAGCCGCGCGCCGGGCCATGATGACAACAAGAGCTAGTCAGTCAAAGACTATGCCCCTTGTCTTGGTATCTCGCAGTCTGGAGGCAAACTCGGGGGCGCGGTGTCGCTGAGCGCAGCAGAGAGCAGAATGAGGGGGACGGTGAAGACCGGACGACCGTGACGGCGTCGGACGGCAGCGTCTCCTCCGATTACGCATGAATCGGGCTGTTGGATCTGATCCGCATGCGGCTGCATCCCAACATCATCACCAACATTCCTCCGCTACTGAAGTACCACCGTTCTTCCCTGCACCTGCAGCGATGGACACCACTAGTACTACCATTCACTTCATTTTCATGACGCTGCTGCATTACATTCGCAAGACATTTCAATTCCGGTGTGCATCATGCTAATAGATCGTGGCAGTGCGTCTGAGTAATATATACTGCTACAAGCACCGTCACGTAGACATAGACAAGCGTCTTCTCAAAAAAAGACTTGATGTACAAGAGAGGTGGCGAACTTCTACGGCTCAAGTGGGTCTTGAATCTCCTCCTTCAACTGTAGCTGGAACGGGATCGCCATTAGCAGGGTTCACGTATTCAATCAAACACTGCAGGTCATCGGCTACGGGCTTACCTTCGAGATCCTCTGTTCCAGTTCATCGCCGAGTACTTCAAGAAATCGAGGAACCTCTTCCATGATCGCCGCTCTACATACGATGCAGTTCACAGCTGCTCCCATATTTCGCAACGCCGTTACCACAGCAGCCAGCTTCAATGCGGCCGGTGTCGGTGTAGCGCGCAGAACCGTCGAGAGTTGGGTCCAAAATGTTGCAAACCACTCCGCGACCGTCGGACACGCACAGGCGGAGCGGTAGTGGCAGTTTGAACGATGCTTCGTGCATGTGTAACAGACAAGCCAGGTCCATCGTTTCGGGCACTTGTTAAGAGGACACCAGAATGCGGTCATGTCTGCGGTGACTGCGGTGACCGCCCGCTTGCGGTAGACGAGGAGTCGCTGGAACTCTTCTCCGCTGATGTCCCGCAGCTCCTCGCACCATTCGGTGAGGTCCTCGAGGAGCAGCGTCTGACGGGCTGCCAGCAGCGCGAGCTCACCGAAGCCGAGATGCAAAGCATACGCGTATACGCGGAGCGGATTCTTTTCGATATGGGGCAGCAGCGCTGGGACCAGTAGGGACGAGTGCCAGGCGACTTGGAATTTGTGCATTACTTGGAGGACGCGTTTGGCATCGTCGAACGAAGCAAATTTCGGAGGGCTGGGGAGCGGGTAAGATAGCCTGAGGAAGGAATCTAGTGTATCACTCGTCTCGGTGACAACTATGGTGGGGGCACCACCTCCGTCATGCGAAAAGCTGGGTTGAGGGAGGGAGAACATGGACGAGAAGACTGGGGAGACAGTAGTGAGAATCCCACGGAAGACATGGAATAGCACATTGTCTGAGCTACGCAGGACGGCGTCGGCATCGAGATTGTCGAAGGGAAAGGACGCAACATGAGGACTATGCACCGTGTCTCCTCCGGCACTGATTGGAGGGTCTGCGCCAGCGTCGTCGGCAGTATGTGACTCTTCAACCTGTCCGGTCATGGTGGACGAAGGGGTGTGTTGCGAAGAGAGACGGTGCCCCTTTCTGTACTGGCGCTAGGTTGCCGCAGCACACCCGGATCGTGAGACCATACACGGTAGGCATTCCCATGTGTTCGACCAGATAAAAATCGATTGGAAGGGTAGGCACGAGTGAGAACGTGGCTTTTATGAACATGGGTTTCTAAACCGACGGGCTATTGACTTTTTTGTCTGGTCGTAAACATCGGAATGCCTGCCGTGCTTCTCCACACAAAGGCGCGCATGACCTAAACAGTCATTAACCGGTCCTCGGGACAGTGCGCGTTTTCTCACTCTCCCTCTAACCTACTGCCTCAGGTCTTTGTATACACCTATACAGACCTCTTACAGCTCACCTCTCCTCGAATTTCATCAGAGGCGACCCAGAAGGAAAGTCACATTTCTGTACGAGATTTACGCGAAAACCAAATCTGAGACGTATTACGGCCCAAGTCTGTACTCACCGTGCCCATGGGCGTGCCCCATTTTTGGTACTCAACAAGGCGATATATGTCGCCTTCTCTCAGAAATCTCATATGGTTAGATTTTGACACCGAGCCCAGATAGTCATCGAAACGGCGTGGAAGGGTAGTCTTTCGCTCGAGCAATCGGGCGTTTAGATGTCCACTTACCATATCCGGGCTCGGCTATCCTCGGCAACAGCAATTTCGATCCATACAAGGGAATTAAGCGCTGTCCCGAGGACCGAGGGACGTGCGATAAGAGAAATTTGGGATGATTGTCCCCGATCCCTCTCACACATAGTTGGATCACCATTAAACTTGGGAATATGATACCTTGTTGAGTACCATACATGACCCTATTGTCCGATATGGGCTGCAAAGTTAGGGGATGCTTCAGGATGAGCGACAACATTTGACTGTCCCGAGGACCGGTTAATGACTGAACATACCTGCTTGTGCCGACTTGTGCCACCGTGTCGAGTGTCAAGAACACGATGCTGACATGTTTCCTCTCAGAATCACCGCATACATTCTTTGTATGCTCAACCATGATATGCACAAATATCCGCCCACACGGTGGCAAAGTCGACGATCGCCTGACGAAGCAGATGTTTTAACGTGTCTTGCTTCGAAGTTCGGGAAGAAGACGGCGCGTGGTTTGGTCGGCCCGGTTACTTGGTACTAGATTGAAGAAGGGTCGAGCACCGCGGGGGCCTGAGGTAACCGAGACACCACATGAGCCGAAGCGAGGGCAGAAAAGCAAGTAGCAGGGATCAGGACGAAGGGAACGGAGAGAGAAAGCAGCTCGACACGCCAGGGACCAAGCACCTTCGCGCATCCTCTATGATGCGGACGACGCGATGCCAAATACGGCAAATCCGCGCGCGGGGCCATGACGACAACAGGAGCTAGTCAGAGGCTATGCCCCCTGTCTTGGTGTCTCAGTCTGAAGGCAACCTCGGGGACGCGATGTCGCAGAGCGCAGCAGAGAACAGAACAAGAGGACGGTGCAGACGGGATGACGGCGTCGGACGGCAGCGTCTCCTCCGATTACTACGCATGAGATGAATCGGGCTGTTGGATCTGACCCGTTTCCCTTTCACCTGCAGCCATGGACACCACTACTGTTCACTCCACTTTCAATATGCTGCCGCATTACGTTCGCAAGACAATTCAGTGTTCATTATGCTCACGAATCGTGCCAGTGCATCTGAGTGATCTATACTGCTACGAGCACCGTCATGTACACATAGACAAGCGTCTTTTCTGAAAACTTGCTGTACAAGAGAGGTGACGAGGTTCTACCACTCAAGCGGTTCGTGAAGTTCCTGTTTCAATGTTAACTGGAACGGTATCGTCGTCAGCGAGGTCCACGAATGTAATCGAACGCTGCAGGTGATCGTCTGCGGGCTTACCTCCGAGATCCTCTGTTCCAGTTCATCGCCGAGTACTTCAAGAAACCGAGGAAACTCTTCCATGATCGCGGCTCTGCATGTAACGCAGTTCACAGCCGCTCCCATAGTTCGTGACGCCGTTACCACAGAGGCCAGCTTCAACGCGGCCGCTGTCGGTGTAGCGCGCAGCACCGTCGAGAGTCGTATCCAAAACGCTGCGAACCACTCCGCGACCGTCGGGCAGGCGCAAACGAAAGGGTTGTGGCAATTTGAACGATGCTTCGTGCATGTGGGGCATACAAGCCAGGCCCATCGCTTCGGGCACTTCCAGACAGGACACCAGGATGCGGTCATATCTGTGGTGACCGCGGCAACCGCCCGTTTGCGGTAGACGAGGAGCCGCTGGAACTCTTCTCCGCTGATGTCCCGCAGCTCCTCGCACCATTCGGTGAGGTCCTCGAGGAGCAGCGTCTGACGGGCTGCCAGCAGCGCGAGCTCGTCGAAGGCGAAACGCAATGCGGAGGCGTAGACGCGAAGCGGATTCTCGCGGATGTGCGGCAGCAGCGCTGGGACCAGTAAGGACGAGTGCCAGGCGATTTGGAATTTGTGAATTACTTGGAGGACGCGTTTGGCATCGTCGAACGAGGCGAAGGCCGGAGGGCTGGGGAACGGGTAGGAGAGCCTGAGGAAGGAGTCTAGCGTGTTACTCGTCTCGGTGACATCTATGGTGGGGGTACCATCTCCGTCATGCGAAGAGCTGGATTGAGGGAGGGAGAAAATGGACGAGAAGACTGGGGAGACAGAAGTGAGGATTCCACGGAAGACGCGGAATTGCACGTTGTCTGAGCTACGCAGGACGGCGTCGGCGTCGGGCTTGTCGAAGGGGAAGGACGCAACATGAGGACTATGCACCGTGTCTCCTCCGGCACTGATTGGAGGGTCTGCGCCAGCGTCGTCGGCAGTATGTGACTCTTCAACCTGTCCGGTCATGTTGGACGAGGGGTGTGCTGCGAAGAAAGAGGGCGCCCCTTTCTATATGCCACCAGGTTGCCGCAGTACACCCGAATCGAGAGATCTATTACACATACACGGCAGACATTCCGGTGTATTCGACCAGAGGAAGATCGATCAAAGGGGGAAGGCACGAGATAAAGTATTGTCGCCTTTCTCCTGGTCGAAAACATCGCATTGTCTAGACCGTGTTGAGTGCTTCTGCAGGGCGCCTTACAAAAGGCACGTACGATGTAAACACACCTGCTTATGCCGACTCTAAGTTGCATCGCGTATTCGAGTGTCAAGGGCACGATGCTGATATGGTTAACTCCAACCACAGACGTTCTTTGGGTACTCGATTATGATAGGCACATATCTCCGCCCACTGTGGCGAGGTCGACGATCGCCTGGCGAAGCTGACGTATTTCAGGGATCATGAATATACACAGTAAAGAACAAGGTGCAAAGGAGTCGTTCGCTACCATGTGTTTTCTCCGCAATGAACGTGTCTTGCTTGGAAGTTCGGGAAGAGGAAGGAGCATGGTCTAGTCGGCCTGGTTCCTTGGTACTAGAATGACGAAGGGTCGAACACAGGAGCCTGAGATGACGCTTCCAAGACCGCGGGACACATGAGCCAAAGCGAGGGGCAGAAAAGCAAATAGCAGGGATCCGAAGGGTCAAGGGAACGGAGAGAGAGAAGCAGCTTGACATGCCAGTGACCAAGCACTTTCGCCCATCCTCCACGATACGGACGACGCGATGCCAAATACGGAGAATCCAGCGCCGCCTTCCACACACGCTCTACTATGTGGTTGCACATGCGTGCGCATCCCAGCCTCAGGCTGCATCACCGAGACGGATGCCCTACATGGCCGCGGTCGTGGACGGAAACACTGTCACTGGCGCCTACCCGGTCCTCTCACAGCTTGATCTACAATTATACTCGAGTCAGCTTTCGATAACGACGACTTCGCCACGAGCCACACGCGATACGGCCCCGTCGAAGCAGGTGACGGCGTGACGCTCACCTTCTCGAGCCAATTCTCCATCTCGGCAGCGAGCTGCTTGAGGTACTGCGAAGCCTCCGTGATGAGCACACGCTCACAGTCTTCGCACCCATCCCGATCGCCCTTGGCGGCCAGGAGAGCACCCATGACCGCGGGCAGCTTCACGTCGGGCGCGGCGGGCGTCGGAGGAGCTCTATCGGGCTTATGAGAAGTGCCGAACCGTCCAGGCGCTTACCTGTGATATGCTGTGCACCTTCCTGCGGCATCTTCACACTCATCATATGGCAAGTCTCATAGGCGAGTCCATGGTATGATGACCCTCAAAGTCTTGCGCCAGCCTCGTTACGTTCTTCGTGAATGCTATCTGAACCGATGTATCGACCTATATAGAGGATCGACACGCCATCAGTCACGGAGCTCAAAGCAAGGTTCCGATACTCGTCAGCCGGTTTGGTCGACAGTTCGTCACATTTGCCACACATTCGTCCAAGTCAGATCTCTTGAACATGCCCACCATACGATTATCTCCCACGCCTGGCCCGGAGACGGCGAGTGGTCTTTGCGTGACCTTGAGCGCAATTCACGTCGGAGTTAAATTTGACTTTGTACGTACCTGCCACGGCTACGAGTAAACGTCCGTGTTCAGACACTCACAGACGTGATGTAGATCGCTGAATCCTGGCATTGCCGTGTCGGACACCGTCTACTATAGTTTGGCGGACATTTTGCTCACTGCAGAGAGTTTCTTCGACGATATCAGGTGAGAATGGTCTATGTCTTGCATCCCGTTTACCTCTTACTAGTATACCCTAGGCAATGCCTGTCCAATGCCGTCCCAGCCAGCTTTCTCTTGGACCATCTACGACGGCCTCAAAGCAGGCGATGTATGCTGACTGATGGACCGTCCACGCCCTCGACGAGCCTCATCTTTCAGCTGGTCACTACTGATCAGATTGGGGCATCCTGGGTCACCGACGACACCCAAGCGAACGGCCAGAACCCATACGGTACTTTGCTTTCCGACATCGAGGCCTTTGTCGATGCCATTGCTACGCTGACATGGCATGAGATTGTGCTCGAAAGGGGGTTCCAAAAGTCACACGTGTGTAGAACTACCGAGCATTGCTCGATGCTTCATCTGGGAGATATATCGATTCGACGCCAACTGGTTCGATAGCGTACAAGGGTACTTGAAATCAGAAGTGTCGCCTGATTACGGAGGTAGTAAAGTGACAGGTGGCTTCCTCAGCACACGCCGGTGCTCGGGATTGATGTAGACAGTGCCATCCTCGACGGCACGACGAGCGTCTTCAATCTGATGCCTGCGTTTTGGTGAGTGACGTTTGTACCAGTGCATGAGTGCCAAGGAGAACCGACTTTTGCGCAAGATGCTGGCGGATCTCGTTTGCTTTTCCAGGCCACCAATCTTCAAGACAGAGGCTGCAGCACCAACCGAAGCGTTCTGTGTCAAGTGTGACCTCATGCGCGGTCGCCTCGAGCTCCTTCACGCGAGCCATATCGGGTGCTTTGACCCGGACCCAACGACTATGGTAACACGTCTTCTTTCCTGAATTGTTGTTCGCGGTATGTAAGAACTGTGACACTCGTCTCAGTGGACGCTTTCACAATGTGTGAGGTGTGTACTCGAGTACTCACTGCAGCTTCCCAGGCATAGACGACATCCGGCTGCCCGTCGGCCTTGCACTTCGCGCACCGAAGTCTTCCCTCGCACTTCTCCAGCTCGGCGGCTGTCGTCCGGTCGGGATCGAGGCCCAGAGCCGTGAGTATGGATCGCGTCCACTTGATCCCCTGCTCGACCTCCATTTTGTCGAGCCCGCTGACCGTGAAGGGGATTTGATAATAATGATTAGCTGCACAGCTGGCATAGTGGCCAGGAGGCAAGACCCCCAGAAGCCGCTTGCTATTGGACCCGCGGAAACGCCACTGAGTGAGGATATAAGGGTAACGAAGTCCCGAGGGGCGGTAGTCGGTCCCCAAGTTGAAAACAGCGATTGCGAGATCCAGAATGCCCACACCCTGAGGGACACGGTCGCACTTAATGTGAGGGCGAAGGAACGATTCGAATTCGGCCTTTTGCTTCGCAAACCACTTGTCGACGAGCTTCGGGACGATGGACGCGAAACTCTCCCGTGTGACGTTCTCCGAGACCGGGGCGTTGGCGAGGCGTTCTAACTCTTTCATGGGCGCAAGGTCAAACGCCAGCGGGTGACAGCGCATTGTTGCGTTGCGCGGGAACGTGACGCAGTATGCGACAATGGCGGCGTCTAGTTCGGCAAAGCGCTCCTTGATGATCGGCTCCTTCTCTGCCTTCAGCCGTTGAGCACGAGTGTCGTTCAGAAAGCCGTCGAGCGCATCTTGCACCTTTTCCCACCCTACGGGAACATAAGGATCACATGCGATGCAACGGCGTGGCTCAGAGAGGCGTACCCTTGTCCGTAAGCTTCGTAGACTGCCTGACGACCGGTAAACGAGACATCTTCTCGAGTCCATATTTGCCGAGGAAATCCAACTCCTTCTTCCAACCCGTCTCCTTGAGAAGTTCGAGAATCCTTGAAACACAAACTAGTCCAAATGATGAACTTTCTTGGGGACAGAAAAGGCTACTTACGCCTCAAACCGCTCTTTTCGTACGTCCTGGAGTTCGTCCTTCCGATCCTGCTTTCGCTCTTCGTACCACTCCTCACAGTCCCTAGCGTACTACATATATCATGAGATCACGGCGTGTGAGCGCAGCGCCCCGTAAGGTCACCCACCTTAACCCGCACAATAAGCTCATTCTTCCGTTTGAGGCAGAAAGCGTCCAGGACATCATAACCCTTACGCTCGGGTAAGGCTTTCCACTTGGAGATCAACTGGTCCACGTCCCGAGCAAGGTATCGCTTCTCCTGCTGACGATGATAACGATAATTGTAATAGCCGCGCCTATAGAGATGGTCTCGATAAGTGACTACGCTTTCTGGTACTGCATAGAATGCGACTTACTGTGGGTCCTTCGGACGCTCTTCGTCGATCCCGTGCAAAAACCACCCAGGCTGGTTCTTAAACTGCCGCTGCAAAACGGCATCCACGCGCTTCAGCTTCTCTTCGACGGCCATAGTGGAGGAAGACCTATAACGGCGGCATAAGCCACGCCTGCGATTGCCAGAAGCCTGTGCCACTCACATCTGGGGCAGACAGTGGGAACAGTACCGAGCAAACCACAACCAAGTAGCTTTGCGAACGTTGGGACTAGCGCAATTCTGTGTGTGGCATAAAACGTTAGTGTACATAGGCGAAGGTGGTGATGATGGTGGCACACCTGGCAATAGGGCGAGTAGAGCAGGTGAATGAATGCCGGTATACTCATCCATGGCGGTCTCTCAGGCAGGTCCTCATCGTTCTTTAGGGATGCTTCCCAAAGACGTTCGTTGCTACGGTGCAAGAAGAAGGAATGGAAGGCCTTGCACGTTCGCGAGAGATTGAAGAGATCTTGTGGTTGTAGGTAACCGAAGATCTGGAATTCGAGCCGTCGTGAGATGATTCAAAGCACTTCGAGGCTTAAAGGTAGGGGGGACAAACCTCAAGTTGGAGTTCCACCGCACAGTTGGGTATGTCTTTCAGACAGCCCTTGCGTATTCTGGACTTGCGCGATGATTCCGCGTCTGGATCGGTGCTGGCAGCACTTGCAACCACAGGGTTGCTGATGCTTGTAAGTTCGGTGCGGTCGCCAGCGAGTGCCTTGCCATCATTCAGTTTCACTCTCTTGCGGGGAGGCATAACTGAGGGCTTTGGGTGGTCCAGAGTGTAAAACGAATGCAATCTGGAAAACGAACATGCACTCGATCCTATTTAAGCGCGGCAACCATGAGCGCTACATTAGCCCCTTTACGTCATCTCACTGCCGCGTTGGTACTTAGCACTAATAGTAGCCTTTTGAGAAACAATAACATTCATGGCAGGACAGAAGGAGGACGGGGCAATTGACCTTATGGCGATTCGTACCGCTTCGGAAGGATACATGATTAGCTGGCAACATTTTCGGCATGTACATCCCGTTTACTGTTTGTTCTCGGATGCGTTCGGGAGACCCTGCGGGGGCGCTGCACGACTGAACTCCACATCTTCCTCATTCCTCAGCTACGTCGTGGAGCATTTCGACAATGACCCGCATATTAGATTCGCTTGAATCTCCTTTGTTGCGCAACTCGTGGAGCCATTCGTTACCCGACGACATACGAGACAATACGCGGGAGTACAGCATGTCCTTGACGCCAAACGTAGCGAACAGCTTCGCCATTCGCTGGGTATTCATGACGGGAAGGTTGGAGGAGAGCAATCGATCGGGCACCTTCATGAGCAACACCCGTAAGTGCGAGTGGGAGTCGGAGTAGCGAGTGGACCGCAACAACTCGAGCCAGAAGCTCACGCAGCTGCAGTTGCTGCAGTCTCACACGTGGCGGGCGCATCAGCCGCAATGGTACTTAGTGGGCCGGGACCTGTACGGGGAGCCCGGGAGGGCAGACGCGGGAGGTGCGCAGCTCGGGGCAGGGATGGTTGAGGGTTCGGAGCGAGAGGCGTCGAAGCCGGCACGCTCGGCAAAGGCGTAAACGGTGTGCGGCGACAAGGGAGAGGGCGAGCGAGTGCCAAGGGGCCTAGCGCTTGTCCATTGTTTGAGAACTTGGGCTGCGTCGTCGAAGGACTCTTAGGATGGGACGAGGGAGAGTTGGTAGCAGAGCTTCAAGTTGAGAAAGGCCTCGAGGGTGCTGCTTGTCTCGGAGACGCTAATGGTCGGGGGCTCCAAAATGGGGAGCTTGGCTGTGAAGGAGAGAATATTTGTCATAAATGCGAGCACTTCAGAGGATAAATAGAGGATTCCGCGAAAGACGCGAAAATGTATGATGTCTGAGCTACGTAGGATGAGCACTCTTGATGCTCATTGATGGGGTGCAAGAAGATGTTGAGTCGCTCACAGATGCACCATTGTGGCTGTGTCGCATCTGGCGCCGGGTGTGAGAGCACGTGAGCGTGTGTGGGCTTAAGCGGGGCGAGGGACGCGCAGGCGGGCCATGTTTGTCTCCGTCTCCGCCCAACCCGTCCGCTCTTTGCTTTGAACTCGCTCCTTCCTCCGTCCGCGACGGACCAGGATACCCTCTCGGTGCAATCCACATGGACACCCTCACCTGCGGCATCTGTCTCGACCAGCTCAGGCTCCCCGTCTGCACCCCCTGCGGTACGTCTCCTCCTCTCCCCCATCCGCGTTCTCACCCGAACACGCCTTCTACAGGCCATCTGTGCTGCGAGGCATGTCTCACGTCCTACCTCGAGACCAGCGCAGACGCGATGAACGCGTCTTGTCCCACCTGCAGGGCCTCGTTCACCATCGGTACGTGCCATACCAGTCCTTCACGCGTCCTGGGCCACTCTCTGAGCTCTGCCACCCCGTCTCCGCTCTCAGCGATCCCCGACCTTCGTTTCGTACCCAAAAAGTATCATACACTCATTATACCCAGCATCCGCCGCGTCTTCATCGCCGACGCCTCCGATGCCGCCGCAGCCGCCCCTCCGTCTCCCTCCACCTCCCCCTCTTCCCGTGCCAACCATAACCCCAACCCGAACCCCGCAGCGAACACGAACCGCGACCTCCGCGCCCAAATCGCCGCCCTCACCGACAAAGCCGCCGCGCTCGAGCGCGACAAGGCCCTCCTCATGGACCGCTGCGAGGCCGCCATCCGCGCGCGTGACGCGCACGCCCAGGGCGAGCGCGACCGCCGCCTCGAGAAGGAGCGGCTCGAGAAAGAGCTCACGGAACTCAGGCGCAAGTACGAGGGCGTGAAGGGCAAGTACAGGGCCCTCAAGGCGTCGTGAGTCCCCTTCCTCCCTATGCGCGCCTACGCGTCCATGCTCACGAGGCGCGCGTTGCTATGTAGGCGAGAGAACGCCGGCGTCGCGTTTTCGGTGGCGACGACGGGAAAGCGGACGAGCAGCCAGGCGGCACTCGACGCCTCCGCTTCGTCTTCGTCGTCGGTCGCCCGCCTCGACTACTTTGCTCATTCTGGCTCGCGCTCGCTCGACCGCGAAGGGGACCCGGGGGACGACGCGTCCGCCCGGCCGGTCCTGCGCATCCCGAAGCGCCCCCGGCTGCTCGGCTCGCCGTTCGACCTCGCCAAGCGCGTCGCGGCGCGGCGCAGCCCCGCGCTGCGCAAGAGCCGGAGCAGGATGCTCATTGACGAGGACGAGGAGGGCGACTCGGGCTTCCGCGCGAGCGACTTCGAAGAGGGGGGAGGGGAGGGGGATTTGAGCTCGAGCGGGGGACCGCAGCGCTCGGGGCTGCCGGCGGGTGACATCTTCTCGCCCAGGGCGGGATGGGGTGGGATGGGGAGCATTTCTTTCGAGTTTGGGGAAGAGGAGGAGGGCAGGAGTGGGTTCTTCGAGAGGAGCGTGCGTGGGCGGGGGACCGGCGTTGGGGTGAGGCCGACGTGGTTGTTGTCGCCTGAGGACGAGTGAGAGGTTGGGTGAGAGGGAATGCGGGGTGTGGGGAGGAGGGGGAAAGAAGAGGCGGAGAAGGGACGTATGACGGGCGTCGTTGTGCATGCATGCGATATATGCGGACGCTCGACTTCCGATTACTCGCCCAGGTCGGGTGGTGTGCGCGCGGGGACCGCGGGTCCTGCGGAGGACGGGCCAGAGTCATCGTCACTGCCGTCTTCCCGCAGCGGACTTGGGCTCCTCGCAGGAGTCAATGCGTTCGAAGGAGATGGCGGGATGTTCAGGAGACCATGGTCGGATGCCAATATCGACGCCTCGAACTCGTTCCTGTCGTATGCCCGTGCAAGCACTTCCATCGGCGACAAGAACACGGGTGACGAGAAGAGCTCAATATGAACAACGTACGTGAGGGAGGTGATAGCCTCCAACACACAACGCAGCGCCAGGTGTTTACGTTGGTCACCTTTGTCCTGCAATAAGAAGTGGACGCAGCCTTCCATATCCGCTAAGTTCACTGAGAAACTAGCTGGCAGCTCGGATGAGACACTCCTGGTCCCGGTTCCCTCCATATATACGAGGACCACTCGCCTCTTCGGAGCGATTGAGTCCTGGGCGGGCGAGTTGATGGACTCATGGGAGATATCTGAAAAGTCAAGAGAACTCGGATCGTCCGGATCGATGAGATCCACCCTAGCCGTCACCCACTTTGGTTGGAAAGAAGGGGCTTGGCGGACTAGACTGAACACGATTGTGCCAAAGTCCAGGTCACCTCCCGAGATACCGAGACTAAAGCAGAGGCTGCCTTCAAACCTTGATTCAGACCGATTTCGGAACTTGTATCCCTGCATTTGCAGAACCTCGTCGGATATTGACGACAGCGCAAAGACCGCGCCTTCAAGTAGACTCCGCTTGGGGCGCATGACGGATACGTCTGGGTGGCCCAAATGGAAGGTCTTCACGTCAATCTTGCAGCGAGAAAGGTCGCGGCGGTCAAGCAGGATTAGCTCGGACCGCAGTCCGACCTACTCAAGTGTGCACCATCGAAGGACGCCAGATTCGGAGTCGATGAAGCAGATACGAGCAAGTACGTGGTCAGGAGGGTGTAGACCAGAGCTATCGCGGCAGGCAAAGAGGACCAGGAAGTATTCTCTACATTCCTTGTTCTAAAGTTGGCGATGTATAGATATGGGCAGGGGGGATACGACTGGGAACGCAATCCTGTATTCCATACGGCGACTGGATGGCCCCTTGAAGAAGTTGTCGTTGGCTTTGATCTGATAGGTTGAGAACCAGGTCTTTGTGGGGGATTGCCTCGTCGTGGATCCCGCAAAGACAGATGACGTAGGGGTGAGAAGATGGAGAGAAGTCCACCCATCGATAGTCCGCGTAGAGAGCGCATCTAACCCTGCAACAAGGAAGGGGTCCCAATTGGGGCTACCATGCCACGCGAAAAGGCTGTGGTCTGGGATGCGCCCTAGGATCTCCTCCTGCAAGCGATAGAATGCCCGATCACCCTCGCCATAGGGCGTGGGCATGTTGATATCAAAAATACCGAGAAGTGAGTAGGCTCGGTCCTCGGGCTTCGCCGTCTTTCGTTCCCCTGCTCAAGACATGCGTTTAGCGACGCTGACCTTCGTGAGCGGAATCTGGTGTAGCAAGACGAGTTGATCGATGGACGTGATCTTCTCCAAGAGTCCAGCTAGATGAGTCTTCGTCCCAAGGAAACGCCAACCCTTCGACAGGAACACGACGCGTCTCGGCGCGACGAGCTCCTGCAGAGTCCACCCGCGTGTGAACCACACACTCCCGCGGAACTCGGACTCCTGGGGGGCGGTCAGCTGCCCTTGGATTGATTCCCCGCTTTCGGCGACGTCGCTCGCGTCCGCGAGGTAGGCAAGGCACAATGAAGCATCGCCGTACCACTTATACATCGAGTTGATCGACTCGGTGAGCTCCGAACTGCTGGACTGGTCGATGCAGCCCGAGTCGATCCAGATGTAGTCATAGCCGTACTCCCGCGCCGTCTCGCACGCTTTGCGGATCTTTGCGTTGAGATCCGGATCGCCCCAGAATGGGCTCAGGGCTGAGTTGTCGGCGGGGGGAGAGGAGGGGATGGGTTCGGGTTCAACGCCAAGCGGAGGGCCTTCGGGATTGAAGGGCACGGACACGTCCTGCGTGTGTATCGCAGGGAGGGTTAACCACTGGGTCTTAGAGTACGTAGTCGAGCGCACAGTACCTCGCCACCATCCTTTCTATAGCCTGGGGAAGGGTCTTAGCCTGGGGAGCTTGTCGGTGTCATCTTCGGACGGCCATCGTCATCGTAGTACCGAGCTTGGATTTTTCTCAGCTGCCGGTATGTCTGCTCTTTATCAGACCACCGATGCGAGAGGATGGCATATCTGGGTGGGTCTTCGTCGTCTTTGGGGTTAAAGTCGACGAACAGTCCTGTATGGGTATCTAGGAGGCGCATCTTGTCCGGCTAGGAACAAAGCATGGATGAGAATGGTACCATCTGTTTGCGGCATCAAACAATGTCGTACCTGGTAGGACGGAGTTGTATGTGACACCGTTAAGGAACGAGATACAGGAGATAGGGTCGAGGATATGTGGAAAGGGGAGGTGGGGGACCTTGTTCGAGTGAGAAGGAGGCCGGCGCAAGTCCCTCATACAGCCTTGCTTGCCTGCACCGACTCATGCAAGGGTTGTCCACCACGCGGCGAGGGCGTGCATCGTGCTTCCAAGCACATAGACATAAACATTGACGTGCCGTGAGAGCACCAGCTCTGCCGATGTGGACATATGCAAGTACGACCAGGTCCGAGTCCGGACTGAGTTCTATTGAACTATAGTCAGCGCTTTGTTACTCCTCAATACATTCGACACAACCGCCTTCCTGTCACATTGGAGCCTGCTACTGTGCGTCAACTCTTTGGAACGTAGATGCTCGATTTGACTCCACGATTCGATGTGATCAGCTTCATCCGTGGTGAGGGAAGCACACGTCGAAAATTTGCGTCTGGTTCGCGGGAGACGCGAAATTAGCAGGGCACAGAAGGGCAATAAGACTCTCTAGACGCCTTGAGTGGACAATTTCGAGCCCGGCGACTCATGGAGACAACCTGCATGAATGCGATGGATGTATACCCCCTCGCCTGAACCGGCGGTAGCAGGGAGTGTGGAGCATGTGCTCATTCTCAGACAAAGAAGACTGCCGCCGGACTCGACGGTACTGTGCCAACGCAGGGCACTGATATGTAGATCAGGCCTTCAAAGTAGGCCTTGAGGATGAGCAAGGGCGTCAGCCTTCCTGACCTGGTGGGAAGAGACGCAAAATAGGTGAAGCTCAAGACGTGAAGATCAAGCAAGCAATACATCGTGAATAAGCAGCACTGAGACGTCGGGTACTAGCATGCGCGTGCCAGAGAGCTCACAAGAGTTCCAATACTGTCGACGCCTGCGGAGGCGTGACTTGCACGTGAACATGTGGCCGAAGTGAGCTCGTCGCTTGCTCGTCCGTCCACGCACGACTGGGCAGTCTCCACGCACGACTGGGCAGTCTCCACGCACGACTGGGCAGTCTCCACGCACGACTGGGCAGTCTCCACGCACGACTGGGCAGTCTCCACGCACGACTGGGCAGTCTCCACGCACGACTGGGCAGTCTCCACGCACAAGAAATGGTCAGCCTTACCTCCGAGAGTTGCCACGTCTCCTTTTGCCTCCGCGTTCTCACCCAGACATGCCCTTCGCAGATCATCTCTGCTCCGAGTTGTGCAGTTACCTCCTACATCGACACCAGCGCAGACGCGATGAGCGCGTCCTGTCCAGTGTTCAGGCCTTCTTTCACCAGCGGTACCTGTCGCCCTCGTTGCTCACGCGCACTGCTTTCACTGCTGACCTCCTGCAATCCCCGACCTTCGTTCCGTACCCAAAATGTATCCCACACTCATCATACATAAGACCCAGCATCCTCCGATGTCGCCGCTCCTCCCTCTCCCTCCACCCACTTACCTCTGCTTGCCTCCCATGCCGACCCGGACCCGAACCCTACGGCGAACACGAACCACGACGCGTTCCTCACAGACAAAGCCGCTGCGCCGGCTTGAGAAAACACCCTCCTCATGAACAGCTGCGAGGCCGCCATCCCCGCACTCGACGCCCGCGCCCAGGGCGAGCGTGACCGTCGCCTCGAGAAGGAGCGGCTCGAGAAAGAGCTGCAGGAACCGAGGCCCAAGTACGAGGGCGCGATGGGCAAGTACAAGGCATCGGACGCGTCATGAGTCCCTCGCTCCCTTCTCATCTCTTCGGGCACGCGTGCGTGCTGGGAGGGCGCTCTGGGCGTCGCCAGGCAGGAGAATGCCAGTGTCGTGCGCTCCGAGCGCTCGAGGCGACGACGACGGGACACCGCAAGAGCACCCCGGCGGCGCTCGAGACGCTCCCCATCACCGCGTCCTCGTCCACCTCTCCGTCCCCGCATGGCGACTGCTTCCCAAACTCCGGCTCGTGCACGCTCGATCGATCCGTGAGGAACGAAGGCGCCGCGTCCTTCTGGCCCGTCCAGCGTGCCCCCGAGCGTCCCTGGCTGCTCGACTCGCCGTTCGACCTCGCGACATGCGCCCAGGCTCGGCGCAGCCCCGATCCGATGAGCCGCAGCCGCATGCCGATTGACGATGACGAGGACGAGGGGGGCGACTGGGACTTCCGCGCGGGCAACTTCGACGGCGACGACGCGATGGGAGGAGGTGATTGAGCTCGTTTGTGAATCCGCCGCCCTCGGGGGCGCCCGCACGGAATATATCCTCCCCCCGGGCGTCGGGGGGCCTGTAGAGGGAGCATTTGTCCTGAGCTTGGGGGCAGGGAGGAGAGCGCGCGTGGCTCAAAGAGCGGGATTGGGGTATTGGGACCGGGGCTGGGGTGAGCACCGCGTGGCTGCTGTCGCTTGAGAACGCGTCAGAGGGAGGCGGCGGGAAGAATTGGCGTGGGGGCGTTGGAAAAAGGACAGGTGAGGAAGGGACGCATAACGGGCGTCGTTGTGCGTATGTGTGCAGAGTTCATGGATTTTCCTCTGTCGAACCGGATGATGTGCGTGCAGGGACGGGAGCCGCCGATTCCTCGAAGGAGGGGCTAGTGTCAAGGACCACGCCCTCTTCGCCGAAGGACGCCTCCAGAAGGAAACAATGTAGAAGTGGATTTTGACTGTTCACGTCAGGCGATGGCTCAGGAGGAGACAGCGAGACGTCATAGAGTTTGGGATATTTCAAGAATCCCCTCGCCACGGGTGGGTCACTTTTGCACATGCGGGCAAGTTCTTCCATATGCGACAAGAGCACGGGTGACGAGAAGAGCTCCTACAATGAAAAGTAGACGTAATTTCCATGTCCCCTAGTCATAGGACGAGTATGGTGGGAAGCTTGGAGAAGATGTTTGTTTCGCCAGACGCAGAGCGCTTGACTCCTGAGCGAACAAGTTGATCAACGCAAGTGTCTTCGATCTGATCCTCACAATTCAAGCTGACTTTCCTTGCTATTAGAAGCTGTCCTCTGGCGGGTACTGGATCCCAGCTTGTACAGTAACATGGCATTTGTATCAAAGCGTCGGTGACAAAAAAGGTTTGAGTTTCATGTCGCTTCAGTCTCACGCACGAGCCGTCAGGCTGGCCTTCACTTGCCGCAGCACACTGTTCAACGGGTAGCTATATATATATATATATATATATATGCTAGCCCTCATCATGTCTCTATCCCTCCGTCCCTTAATCTGAGTACACCGGGATCCCAATCGTCGCCAACGTACTTCAATCTCCCCATGGAAAGCCTACCTCTGGACCTCGAGGAGAGACTGAACCTCCATAAAAACGCACCAGCACCGTTCGACAAAGCCGCCGCGGATGTCGTTCTACGCACATCCAACCAGGTCGATCTCCTCGTCTTCCGGTGGATCCTCGAGGACGCATCCCCGGTCTTCAAGTCCCTCCTTGACCCGGGTCTCCCACAGCCCCCGCCCTCCTCTCAGTCCAAAACACCCAATGCGGGCCCCGACTCCGAGCGCACGAGTCGTATCGTTGTCGACATGGCTGAGCCGAGCAGCACGCTGCAGCCCATCCTCCGGCTCTACTACCCCGCCGCAGAGCCCCCCACGCTCGCATCCCTCGACGAAGCGGTTGCCCTCCTCGCTGCCGCACAGAAGTATGAGATGGTGTTTGCCTCTCGCCTTCTCCAGACCGCGGCGCTGCCGCTCATCACCACCACACCCCTCCGCGCATACGCACTCGCGCTCACTGCTCACCTCGTGGACACTGCCCGTGCGGCTGCAAAGGCGCACCTTGCGCACACACTTGCGCACGAGGTGTGTCCCCCAGAGCTCGAAGACCTCAGCGTGGGCGCGTACCACCGCCTCATCGCATACCGCGCGAAGTGCTCCGCTGCATTGCGCACGAAATGCAAATGGCCAGAAGCCACAGGTGCACCCAGTGTTCTTAGGATGAGTGAGTTGGGTGAATGGACTTGGTTTGCGTGTCGGGCATGCGTCAAACATCGAGGTTCAGACTGGTCTTGCCGCAAGCTGTACTGTGGGTGTGCCGCACCATGGTTCCAGACGTTCTGGGACGGGCTGCTGATGGCGCTGTGCATGACACCGCACCAGGATACGCTGGACAAGCTCGAGAGTCGTCTGTTGTACCGGCTGTATGAAGGAGCGGGGGGATGCTCGACGTGCAAAGCAGTCGTAGTGGAGCAAATTGGGATGTTAATGATTGTACTGAAGCAGGCGGTCGATGCAGTTGTTTCGGAGGTGAGTCGGTTTAGGTTAGATGTCAGTGCATTCGGGTAGGCTCACCGAGCTTCCTGTTATAGGTTATATTGAGTGTGCTTTAGGCGGCATCGTGAATGGTCTAAGTACATATTTGGGTGTATCAAACACTGTTGTCATTTCGTCTATTCTTTGCTCCCATCCTGTGCCCGCACCGCAAGATACGAATGTATGATAAGTCAGATTTCCATGGATATGGCGATGTTGCTTGTTGCTCGATTCAAAGCCGATTTCACCTCCAGACGATTTCAAGTTCACAGTTCCGACCAGATATTTAGGAGTGATTGAGAAACTGCGGGAGAATGCAATAGGCGTCCTAGTGAACGAGGCAGACTCTATGCGCACATGCATGTTAAGATATGGTCTCCAAACACCTGCGTACTCTGCCCTGAGTCCCCGTCCGATGCACGCGTCGCGGTCGTATATGTCTTCTGTAATTTGCGTCCGCTTCCTCACGCAAACAGGCCCTTCGCAGGCCATCTCTGCTCCGAGCCGTGCCTCACGTCTACTGGTAGCGTAGGCGCTATGAGCACGTCCTGTCCAATTTACAGGCCCTCGGTACGTGGCCCACATTGTTCATGCTCACCTCCAGCAATCCCCGACCGTCGTTCTGTGGCCAAAACATACCATACGCTCATTATGCCCAGCAGCCACCGCGTGTTCATTGCCTGCTCCTCCGATGTCGCTGTTCTTCCCTCTCCCTCCACCTCTTCACATCTGCCTACCTCCCACGCCGACCAGAATCCGATCCCTACCGCGAATACGAACTGCGAGCTCCGCGCGCCCTCACAGACAAAGCAGCCGCGCTCGCGCAAGAAAACACCCTCCTCATGGACCGCTGCGATGCCGCCATCGGCGCACGTGGAGCATACGTCCAGGGCGAGCACAACCGGTGCCTTGAGAAGGAGCGGCTCAAGGCAGAGCTCACAGAGCTCAAGCGCAAGTACCAGGGCGTAAAGGGCAAGTGTATGACCCTCTGCGCTGCCTGCTAGTCTACGCGTCCATGCTAATGAGGGCCGTGTTGCTAGGTGGGAGAACGCCGGCATCGCGCTTTCTGCACTCGCGACGATGGGGAAGCGCAAAAGCAGTCAGGCGGCGCTCGATGCCCTCCCAAATGCCTCCTATTCTTCGTCCTACGCTTCTTTATCAGTCGCGCACGTCGACCCGGCTCGCGCACCCCCCGGCCACGAAGGAGACCTAGGAGGTGACGCATCCGCGCAGCCGGTTGTGCGGCCCTGGCTGCTCGACTCGCCATTCGACCGCGGGGAGCGTGTCCCCGCCCCGCGCAGTCTTGCGTTATGCAAGAGCCTAAGCAGGATAGTCATCGAGGAGGGCGAGGAGGGCGAGGAGGGCTTCCGCGCGGGCGACTTCAAGAGAGGAGGAGAGGAAGAGCAGGAGTTAATGGCGAGCAAGTGACCGTAGTGCTCCGGGCTGCCAGCAGGAACTTCTTCTTCGCCTGGGCCGGGAAGCGGGGAGGGTGAGGATAGCGAAAGCGAGTTCTTCGAGAGGAGCGTGCGTGGCCTAGGGGTCGGGCGCGGCGTCAGCATCGGCATCGGGCAGACGTGGCTGAGAGGACGGGCGAGAGGGATGAAGGGCGAGAGGGACGGCGGGTAGACTAGGAACGGGCAGATGAAAAGAGGAAATGTGGGGACGATGGGGGAAGGAGAGGCGGGGGAGGGATTTGGGACGGGCGTCGCTGTGCACGTGTGCGTACGAGGATGCTCAACCTCGGCTTGCTTGAGCAGGTCGGGTGGCCTGTGTGCGCGGACCGCCGGGCTTGCGAAGCCACCGAAGTTCCTTTGGGGATGAGCTGTGACTCCTCGCAGAAGTCGATGGCCCCGGAGGAACTAGCGGGGTGTCAGAGAGTTCACGATCCTGCAAAATTCGACGCGTCATGTCCGGATCATCACCGTATTCGCGTGCAAGCGCTCCCATCTGCCGCAAGTTTCTGGGTGACGAGAAGAGCTCGATATGGACATCGTACTTGAGAGAGGTGATAGGCTGGAACAGACAACGCAGAGCGAGGTGTTTGTATTGGCCGCTTTTGTTCTGCAATAATAAATGGACGCAGCATTGCATGTTCCCCGAATCCAGTTCGAGTTCAACTAGCCGCTCGGATGAGACCTCTCTCCGAACTCCCTCGGCATATAGGAGGGTGACAATTCGCCTCTTCGGAGCGGGTGCATCCTCGCCGAACCAGAGGAGGGTATCTTCGGAGATATCTGAAAAATCAAGAGATCTGGGCGGATCGTCCCGATCGACGAAGTCCACCCTGGCCTCCACTGTATCCGTATTTCTACGGGACTTGCCGACCAGAGTGAACACAATCTCGCCATAATCCAAGTCACCTCCCGAGATACCGAAAGTCAACCAGGGGCTGCCTTGAACCCTCTTTTTACACCGCGAGTTGTATTCGTATCCCTGTATCTTCAGAACCTTGTCAGATATCGAGGACAACGCGAAGATCACCCCTTCAGGTAGATGTCGCCGATGGCGAGGGATGTACACTGTCGGGTGGCCCATATGGAAGGTCTTTACGTCAATCTTGCGGCCGGAAAGGTCGCGGCGGTCTAGTAGGATCAGGTTGGGTCTCATGCGCCAGTTGAGGAAACACGACTGAAGGACGTCAGGATAGGAGCCGATGAAGCAAAGGCGTGCAAGAAAGTGGTCACGAGAGTAGAGACCAGAGCTATCGTGGCAGGCAAGGAGGACCAAGAATTCTCCAGGTGGAGAGTGATGTATACTGTTATCTGAAGAATCTTGACGCAAGGATAGAGGCATGGGGGGAATGACTGGGAATGCAATGCGCATTCCGTACGGTGACTGGGTGGCCCCTTGGAGAAGTCGTTGTCGGTCATCGTCCGATAGGTCGGGAAAGGACTCGGATAGGAAGTCTTCGTGAGGAATTGCGTCAACCGCGGATTTGGCAAAGACGGCAGGGGAAGGAGCGAGTAGATTGATTGGAACAGAATGCCAGGGAGCTGAAGTAGAGAGTGCAGCCAACCCTGCAATAGGGTGAAGGCCCCACGCGGTCCACGCGAAGATGCTTTGGTCTGGGATGCGCCTAAGGATCTCCTCCTGCAGGCGATAGAATGCGCGATCGTCCTCGCCATAGAGCGTAGGCATGTTGATATCGAAGATACCGAGGAGCGAGTAGGCTATGTCCTCCGGCTTCGCCGTCTTCCGTTCCGCTGCCCAAGACATGCGGTTAGCGACGCTGATCTTCGTGAGCGGGATCTGGTGTAGCAAGATGGCTTGATCGATGGACGTGATCTCCTCCAGGAGTCCAGCTAGCTGAGTCTTCGTCCCAAGAAAACGCCAGCCCTTCGACAGGAACACGACGCGCTTCGGCGCGATGAGCTCCTGCAGAGTCCAGCCACGCTTGAACCACTCGCTCCCCCGGAACTGGGATCCGTTGAATCCCAGCTGCCATCGGAACGAATCCTCCCGTCCGGCGAGATCCTCGACGTCCACAAGGTAGACAAGGCACAGCGACGCACCACCGTACCACTTGTACATCGAGTTGATGGACTCGGATTGTTCCGAGCTGCTGGACTGGTCGATGCAGCCCGAGTCGATCCAGATGTAGCGATAGCCATATTCCCGCGCCATTTCGCAAGCTTTGCGAATCTTGTCGCTGAGCTGTTTATCGCGCCAGATGGGGCTCAGCTCTGGGTACTCGATGGTAGGCTGAGGGAGGGTGGACTTCGCTTTTGACGCTTTGTGAAGGGTCTTCGGGGGACGCGTCCACAGCTTGCATGGGTATATTGAAGTCAGGTCTAGCTACAGCAAGTCAGAGAGGAGCGGACCTTGACAGTGACATTTTTGCACGGCCATCGCGACCATAGTACCGATCTTGGATCTCCCTCAGCTCCCGGTAGGTCTGTTCGCCCTCGGACGACCACCGATGCGAGAAGATGGCGTATCTGGCGTGCTCCTTGTACTCGGGGGAGTCGGAGTCGACAAACAGTCCCGTAACAGTGTCTAGGAGGCGCATCTTGTCCTGCTGGGAATGTCACACGTTGAGAACAGCGCCATCTACCATGACCTCGGCAAAACACCATACCTGGCAAGAGGCAGTAGTCGTTTCGAAACGACTGAGCAACCGGACCCAAAGGACAGTGTTGGAGATGTGTAGACACGGGAGTGGAAGAGCCTTTAACCAGGACCGACCCCACAAAAATTGTCCACTATGCGTTGAGGCCGTGCATCGTACTTCCAAGCAGGGACACAGGAGATTTGACGTGCCGTGAGAGCCCAACCACTTCCGATACGGACATCTGCAACTTCAGACCGAGTACCATGATTCAGTAGTCAGCACTGCGATGCCCTCCAATACATTCGACACAGCCGCCTGTCGACGTCCTACCTGGCCTATAGCTGTGTGTTAATCCAGGCTCTTCATGCGCGGACGCTAGACTTGACCGCGGATTCCGGTGCGAACAGTCACCGAGGGCGTGGTCAAGGAAGCACGAGTCGAAAATTGTCACTTGGACTGTGGAATGTACAAAATCAGCAGAGCGATAAGCCTCACTGGAAGCCAGTATTCAACGACCCGCTGCAATGGTTTCACGCCCGGCGATGAAAACCTCCGATGATATATGAGGACGCGGTGCATGTTTACGTCCTCGCGTCCACCCGAAGTAGAGGAGAGTAACGAATATATGCTCCTTCTTAAACAAGTGAAACCTACCGCAAATGTACAGTGGAACAGCAATGGGCACTGAGAGAACACCGTCAGCCTTCGTGACCTGGTGGGAAGAGAAGCAAGCAGGTCAAGCAAGGAATATGTGCGTGTGCTCACAAGAAGGTCCGGAGTTGTCATGAGCCTGAAAGTCGCAGTCTTCCGCTGCCTTTGGCGCCACCCACAGCGTGAGCGTGTGTTCGAACGCTACATAGTAGATCTCCATCACGTCGCTCGCTCGTCCACCATTGAAGAGCTAATGCCCTCTCGTACGGGGCCGCACGAGGCATGGACAAGGACAACATCCCCTGCGTAATCCGCTTTGACTGGCTCAGCACGGCCGTCTCCACGTTTCGTGGTGCATGTCCTTGTGTCTCTCGTGATCAGTCTTTATGCCATCCACGTGCGAACACGCCTGGTGCAGGCCATCTCTATTGTCAGGCATCTTTACGTAGCCGCGATGAACGCGTCCTGTAGAATGTGCAGGGCTTCCTCCAACATCGGTACGCCCCGTGTCTGCGGGCCCTAACGCGTCGTTTTAACTCCTCTGTGAAGCGTACTCCCCCCTGTTTCAACGTCCAGCAATCCTTTCGTACAAACCTAAAGTCCCATACAATCGTCAAATTCAGCATCCACCGCGTCTTCATGGCCGGCTCCTTCCAGATCGCCACGCCCCCCTGCACCCTCTGCTTCCTCCTCCTCTAGACCTGCCTCCCGTGCCAACCTGGACCTGAATTGTGCCGTAACCGCGACCCGTACACGGCGCGCCCGAGTGGCGACTCTCGTCGACAAAGCCGTCGTGCTCGACTGCGATAAGATGAACCGCCGCGAGGCCGTGAACCGCTGACGCGCCGCGACGGCCAGGGCGAGCGCGACCGGCGCCTAGAGAAAGAGCACCTGAGGAAAGAGTTTAGGGGACTCTGGAGCAAGCATAAGGCATAGGGGGAAGTATCAGGCGTTCAGCACGTCGTGCGTGTCTCCTGCTGTCGCATTCGAAGTGTGCGTAGGTGGGCTGATGATGGCCAAGCGTGTGTCCAAGCGAGAGAACGTCGGCCTCGCGCGCGACGACGCCCGGTGGCGCTCGATGCGTTTCCCAACCCTTCCTCGTGTCCCCCTCATCCAGGCGTCGACTATTTCACGCATCGCGGCTCGCGCTCCACCGGCCGATTCTGCGCGTCCTGAAGCGCCCCCGCCTGCTCGACCTCGCCATGCACGCTTCTCTCGAAGAACCTGCTCCCCTTCCCGCCTTCCTCCCCATCCCCAATCTCGGATCAGACGCTGCCCTTCCCGCCCCATCCTGCCCTAGGCGAGAAGATGTCCCCCACCGACGGCCACCGGCGCTGCGGGCCCCCGCTCTAGCTCTCCTTCGAAGTCGCTTGCGTGGAAGCCCGAGTCGCCCTCCTCATCCTCGCCGATGAGCATCCTGCTCCGGCTCTGGCGCAGCGTAGCGCAAGGCTGCGCAGGGCCGCGACACGCCTCGCCCTAGGGGTTAGGGGCGGACTCAGCATCAGGGTCAGGCAGACGTAGCTGCTATTGCCTGAGGACGAGTGAGAGGACGGCTGAGAGGGAAGGCGGGAAGACGAGGCATGGGTAGATGGGGAGAGGAAATGTGGGGAAGATGGGGAAGGGAGAGGAGGGGGAGGGACTGGGGACGGGCGTCGTTGTGCTTGTGTGCGTACGAGGGTGCTCAACCTCGGCTTGCTCGTGCAGGTCGGGTAGTGTGTGTGCGTGATAGTCCTGAGGATCTCCTCCTGCAAACGGTGGAATGCACGACAGCCCTTGCCATAGGTCGTAGGCATCGTGATGTCGAATATCCCGAGAAGACAGTAGGCTAAATCCTCTGGCTTTGTGGTTACCCGATGCGCTGCCCAAGACATTCGTCTGGCGACACTGATCTCATGGAGGGACTCTTCGTGTAGCAAGACACCCTGTCCGATACCGGTGATCTCTTCGAAGACTTCAGCTAGCTGAGCCTTCGTCCCCAGAAGACGCCAAGCTTGACACAGAAAGACGACGCGTTCTGGGGCGATGAGTTCTTGGAGGGTCCATCCACGCGTGAACCACTCGCTCTCGCGGAACTCGGACCCTGGGGCGCTCAGCTGTCCTTGGACCGAATCCCCGCTTTCGGCGACATCGTGCACATCCGCGAGGTAGGCAAGGCACAAGGACGCATTGCCGTACCACTTGTACATCGAGTTGATAGACTCGGTGGGCTCCGAGCTGCTAGACTGGTCAATGCAACTCGAGTCGATCCAGATGTAGCGCTAATTGTTCTCCCACGCCGTTTTGCAAGCGTGGTAGATCTTGTCGCTGAATTGCTTTTCGCGCCAGATAGGGCTCAGCTCTGAATGAATGCTAGCGTCGGGAGAGTGGGGAGGTTCGACCTCAACACATCGGGAAGAGCCGTCGGAGTAAGAGAACGCGTCCACGACTGGGACCTAATTGCTTGCCAGAGTCAGGATCGACCACAGTAAACGATGACAAGTCTGCCGCATCTCGTACCTCTGCCTGACGTTCATTTTGGCCTGTGGGAGGAGGCTCGAGGGGTGTGGTGCTTGGTTGTGCACGCTTAGGATGGCCGTAGCGATCATAGTATAGATCTTGAATCTCCCTCAACTCCTGGTACGTCTGTTCTCCGTCGGATGAACATCTGTGCGATAGAATGGCGTAAACTCGGGAGAGTTTGAGTCGACAAAGAGTCCCGTGTGAGTATCCAGGAGACGCATGTTGATGGCTGCGAAGCGAGACATTTATTAGAACGCAAATCATTCAACCATCAAAATGGAGGCATACCACTGGAACGATCACTGTATTTGCGACTGTATACGAGCGAGCACAGTGAAGGATGGGGGCAACGCGAGATTATAAGTAGGCAAAAGCTCTTGTGAAGCTAAAGCCATGCAGAATAACCCAAGTACAGCTTTTACAAGGTTTGAACAGCATGGCGGTACGGGCGGGAATCACCCGTCAGGCGTCTTCCGGCTCTGCTGACATAGTCGTATGCACGGCAGGTGAGAAAATCCATGCTACCTATGTGGGCCACGCAACCTGCCAATGGGAATTCCCAAATTATAGAGAGGGATACAAAGGCCCACTAGAAATGCTAGGATCAAGTTGCGTGGCTCACGAACGCCGCACGAATTTTCCTGTGTGAAGCCTGGCGCTTTGCCCGCTGTGATGCGAGTCCCTACCTTCAGGTTCAGATCTCCTGTTATATGGTGACACTTTCCAGCATTCCGGTGCGCTCAGCCGCACGAGTAAGATGCTGGCATACTGGAATTCGCATGTGCCTATCTGTTAATACACTGCACCAATATGTCACATAGTAGCACGTCCGGTGCCATAAGCGTCAAACGTCACAGACGAAGCGCGAGCCTACTTAGATGTTAGCTGAAATCACAAGAGACGTAGTTCATATGCAGATGTGACCTTTGGAGCACATACACAGTAATGTTCGCTGGAGAAACAGGGGAGATCAACAGCCTACGGTAAGGCTCACAAGCCGATGACGGAAGGCAACTCATTAGGTAACGTGATTGCTTACAGAAGCTTTTCTCAGCCACCTCATAATCACTCGACAGCGCCCATGCGCGTCTCCGCAGAACCATGGAATGCCATTAATCTAGTCAACCCTTTGCATCAGAGGCTCGCATCATCTATACCTTATTTCAAGATGGTCACATTCTTCGATCTTCCTCTGGAAATTATCCTTATGATCAAGACTTACCTAGACCCATGGGACCTCCGAACCGTTGTCTGTCTCTACCTCGCAGATCCCCGATGCGCGGTGCTCCATGACTGGGAGACAGACCCGGAAGCGTTCTGGAAGACCATCTGCTGGAAGAATGGGTTGGGTCGACTTCCGCTGGACGGGGGCTCGGAGGACGGTGTGTGGCAGGACATCGCCCTCCAGTGCATCGAACGCGACGGTTTCTGCAAGCATCCTCATTGTGGAGACGCCATGCTAGAGTATAACCGTACGTCGTGTTGCTGTGGCCTCTGGCGCCCTTCTGCGGGCTGACGCTCGTGGTGCTCCCATTGGCAGGCGAGCGTATGCGAGAGAGCGCGGACTGTATCGAGGCATTCTCTGCAGTGCATGTGACAGAAGACTACGACGCCGATGTCTCCTTCGCGCCAAATCCAGTTCTATTCTATATCGACTTCCGAAAGAGCGATGAGTGCCGGGACGGGAAGGGGCAACCAATCGAAGACGACGCCTACCTTCGTTGGGACAATAGCTCAGGTTCCGAGAAACCTAACGCAGGAGATGCCAGAAACCGCGCTTACCTTGGAGACCACCCCATCACAGCCCGGAGTTTCGCGACTGCTACCCCGGTTTCGAATATACTCCTTCTCAACATGATTGGGTGGCGACGACCAAAGAACGAAACCTTGAAACTTCAGCGGCCTGTCACTGTGTATGATTTACTTGGACTGCTTCATGAGGAGTACGTATCGGCCCTCCGTTGTATGTAGAAGAGTTGCGGCTAAGCAACGTTAACTAGCAGTTTGGACTATGACCTCACCGTACGGGACGTGTCCAATCACGTGGGCGGCCACTTAGAATGCTTCCGTCGAATGGGGTGGGGCGTCTATGATACTTTCGAGAACCTGAAGACTACGCGCGAGGTGCTATCTGTGTGGTTAGTGCGTGACTCGGTCGAAGTCTATAAGCTGCTGACCAATCCATTTCAAGTCCGATCAACTCCGTGGAGATAGTAGAACGAACAGAGTCCGGGCTGAAGGTGCGGTTCTGCCTACAGTAGGAATGGCCGATAATAGGTCTTGAACCAAGATGCCAGAACTGCATGGGCGGGTCAATTGTACAGTCAGATGATAAAACCATCAAACGTACCGTATCAGACATTGTGCTATACCCAAAAAGTTCATGAGAAGATACGCCATGCTGAGGTACCTATTCAGAAAGAACAATACCGATGCCCCCGTAAGTTTTCCATTCCAGAAATGTGTCGCCTCTTCCCCTGTGGTGATAACCCATTCCCAGAGATATAGCACTGCGGTACGAGATGCAATGAGGACAATTTGTCGGGACATAGCAAAAGGGGGCTCCAAAGAGGGATGATGAGAGTGACATACCTACCTACTGCTGCGTTCCCATAGTAATTTGAGACAGTCCTATGATGTTCAAACACGTTGGCCATTGTCTAGGCAGCGAGTCAAGCGTAAGACTTACAGGAGTTTGTACACAGTTGCTTCTTCGCTCGCATCTGAGGAAGACATATCGCCGCACAGCAGTGAACAGTGTGCAGTGGGATGAAGGGGGAGGTAGATACTCAATCCGCGACATACCAATTCCCCTCCTAGATGAGCTACTTCATATCGCTACGCGGCGACTTCGGCACCATTTGACGTGACAGGAGCTGCACTTGAAATGCAATCGACGGGATGTGAGATTAGCGGAAGGTTGGCGTCGCGCGCATCAATGGCAAAGGGACGTGTTGAAATTGTGAAATGGAGCGCTTTTTACGTGCCCGATAAGCTGCACACCCGGAGGTCGAAGGGCAACGTACCAAATTAGATTGTCGGGAGGTGGCTCTAAGCCCAAGAACAAGACTCACCGAAGCTTGGGGATACCGTTGGGCGGCCCAGTACACTGAGGGCATTTCGTGTAAGCTAGCAGGAAGATGGTAGGTGACTAAGCGGCATGAAGCACTGTTGGGTGGTACTTGTGGACAGACGGGCATTCTATCCCTCGTATCCGTAGATTCAGGGAACCCGGAGATCGCAAATTCTGAATGGGCGCTGGCGGATAGTAAGTGTACCGAACGCTGAAGGATCCACGCGCGATGGAAGTTGTGCACACCAATAGGGCGATCCTCGCATTCTATGGGCTGAGCTCGCAGCCACTGTACACGTCGTCGCAGGAAACAACGACAGTAGAGACTACAACGAGGTATGTAAACCTCTGGGATATCGGGCCAGGGAGGTATCAAACCTCCCAACCCACGCGGTCTTAGTGATACGCGTCGGTTAGAGTCTCGGTTAGGGTTCGGTTAGGGTTCGGGTGAGGGTTTGGGTTCGGTGAGGGTTTGGGTTTGGGTTTGGACACCTCCTCCTCCCCCAAGAGGGGACGCCGTCTGTATTTATCGCGCGAACGAGGCTTTAGAGTGCCCGCCTGAGTGCTCCCGGCTCGGGGGACCCCCCGAGCGCAGCGAGGGAGGGGAGGGAGCACGAATGGCGGGTCCTCTTCGCGCAAACCCAAAATCTAGCATCAAACGCCACAATGCTGATTGAGAACTCTGATCATCAAAACCAGCGCGCTGATGCGCCCGTGGTGACAGCGTCGGTGGTCTTTTGCGTCGCGCGTCGCCCACCCTCCTCACCCGCCATGCCTGCACAACACTCTGCATCTGTTAGACAAATGCTGCCTCGTCAATTACTGCGACCTCCTCAGAGGGAGTATGGTTTTCATTTGAGCTCCTTGAAGTTGCTTCGAGTACGTACACCGTTCCAGCTATCAAAAACTGATGCGCCCGTATTGATGTCCTAGGCTGACAGCCAATCATATGCGTGGCTGGGAGGTCTCATACCTCCCTGGCCCGATATCCCAGAGGTTTACATACCTCGTTGTAGGCTACTCGACGACAGAGAACAGACACTCCGGGCATGATGCACGAGCTTTTTCTCAATCAGATCGAAGTGGACCGTGAAACCGCAGTCGGCAGTGATCGAGCCCTTCAGTCTGGAGGGTTAGCGCGAGCGTCAGGCTTCGAGGATAAGCGAGCGAGACACGCTACAGACATACGTGTCAAGTCAGCTATGCATTTCAATGAGCAGCAAGTCGTCACGGTATATGTATATGCGTTCACAAGAGACTTTAGAGTGGCTATCATGGGAGACTCACTGTGGCAGTCCTCCACTAGGCCTTTGGCGGTTGCTGGCGGCTGTCTCAACCTGGTGTCGGGCCGAGCCGAGAGGCTGTGCTACCTCGAGATACGGGCTCGATCGATCGGGACCGGGCCCAGACCGTCGCATTTCTCTCCGCTCACGACTAAACTACGCTTCGCAGTGCAACATACGACAACATGAGTCCGATATCTCGACTCAAATTACCCCACGTACGCGCAAATACATCATCGTGACAGCAGTGGCACGAAGCCCGAGGTGTCCGTGTAACTCATGAACGGAAGCCATTTTCCATGGTCGTGTGTCCCTTCTAGGCCTTTACGAACACGTCCAATATGCACGGACCCTCCAGCCCAGACTCATTTGGCGCTCATCCGCGCTCAGACGGACCCGCGTCGTACGTGGATGGAAGTGTTACAGTCAAAAAGAGCTGCGTCTAGGTGTGTTCTTCGCTCCACCACAATGTGCCCATTCCGTCTGGTCTGGACATTGCGCTGATACGGTTCCCGCCAAGATACGGAGCCTCGGAATGACTATGCCACTGCATGCTCGCGGCCTCCAATACAGTATATAAATCACTGGGCAGGCGTGCAAACCCTTCCTCCATCGACCGTGCCGACCACTTTGAATTTCGAATACCCACCTACCGATCCTATACACGCCTCAACATAACTGATGCCCACTTGCATCGTTTGTCTTGGCGCTTTGAAAGATCCCGCTGCGCTACCTTGTGGTCAGTTCAGTTGTTGCTCAAAGCTTCCTACTTTCTCACAACTCCTCTATCTATCGTAGGACACGTCTTTTGCTGGGACTGTCTCATCCGCCTCATCCGCTCTGTCACGCCGTACACCAACCATCACTTCTGCCCGACCTGCAAACAACCCTACACCATATGTTAGTTACCACCCTCCCTGTCATGTGAGGTTCTCGCTCACGAGCTTTTCATCTTCAGCGAACGTTGACCCGACCCTAGTACCACACCACCTTCAGCCTTTCATTACGCCTTCCGTTCGGAAGCTACATCTGGAGTACACGATCCCGGCCCCGACCAAAGGCGCCTCGGCATCCAACGCGGAGTACGAAAAGCTCCTGGCTGAGAACGTCTCCCTGAAGGCCTGCTGCTTTATTTGGCGCAAGCGTGCCGCGGTCCACGCTTCGGCCACGCTCGGCCTTGTGGGCCTTGCGCGGATAGCCCGTGACTACGCCTTGCGCATCAAGAGCGAGCGAGACGAGCTCGAGACGCGTTATAACGAGCTGAAGAAGCGATACGACGAGAATATGTGCGTACTGCTTCCGCAACCCCTTGCTTGCCCTTCGCTCATTCCATCTTCGCATCATAGGTCTCAACTACAAACTCCTCCAGAGACCCCTCCTTCCCCGCGCAGTGCCCAGCTACGGGCGAGCTCGCCTCCCGTCATCCACCTCCCGCACATCTCAGAGCTCCGCCTTGAACCGCTGGAAACGAACCTCCAGCCCAGTCTCAAGCGGACGTCACCAGCGCCCCGTCCCCTCTCCACATCTGTCTACCGCATGCCCTCTCCCGCGATGTCAGACGTGAGCTATTTCTCCGACTGCCCAGACTGCGTGGAAAAGAAGCGGAAGCGCAGCTCGGAGCCGGACGAAACCGAGGAGGACGTTTTAGAACGCCCGATTAAGCGATCGCACTCGTCCTCTCCAGGCATCGTCTCGCCCGCTCCCGCCCCTGCCACTGCGTCGCCCGAGAGGAGTATTGCGAGTTATCTGGAAGGGACGCTCACTATCTGACTTATTTTGTTCCGGGATCACCTACGTCTCCATCACGTTCTGCCGACATGTACGATTATCGACATGCCCAGCCCATTCCTGCTGTACTACAATATCTTCCTATAATGGTCCTCGGCACTATACCACCACTCAGCCCTATTCGCATGTGTATGTCCCCTCTTGTGTATCATAGCCACGTCTCACCTGTAGTCGATGTCCATACACATAGGACAAAGACAGAACAGACCCTGTGCCTGGGCGTCCCCGCCTGTCATATATCGAAACCCAGGTACGGCCGGGACGACTCGAGCCCGGCAAATACCATAACGCCACAAATCCTGCGGTTCCCGCCCACTTTCGTCGATCTGCGTCATATAGGGACTACATGAATACAAGCATCCTGGACTGCGGCGCCCTCGTACACGTCATCTAGTTCTAGATACAGAAGTACGATAGCTCAGCAGCGGTAGCACCTCTGAGGTCAGCTACCCACCAGCGATCGCACTCGGATCGCCTTCCGCGCCCTATCGACCAGGTTGCCCCGACAAGAAGCGCACACCTTCGCCGTCCGCGACGGCGATGATCTGTGCGCGATTAGACTTCGTGAGAATGGTAATGACTTTCCGGAGGATGGGGAACGGAAGCCCAGATAGGGGCGAGGGGACGGGCGGTTCGACGATCTCGTAGAACGTCATGATCGTGTTAAGCTGGCCTGTCGAACTCGCCTGCAAATGATAGGGCTGAATGAATATCTCATTGAGCTGTGACGGTGTGCATGGAGGAGACGCACCCAGTCGTGGAGAACCTGCGCCCATTCTTCCGGTGACCGCCAGTAGAGTAGGACCGCGGATGTCTGGTTGGGCGGATCGTATACGGCTTGGCCGGAAGTGACCATGTGTGCGAGGATGGCCGCCAAGTGTGCTGCACGAATCTTCCCTGTGAACCCACAGAAGTGTGTCAGCCGGTGCAAAGTAGCGTCCAGTATGAGCACCCGTCAAGGAACGGGGTACCCACGGCCAATCCTGGGATTACTTAGTACTTCCTCCCACTCGCTATTCGGCACGTCGACGTCTTCTGCACGCAACACGAAGAGCTTCTTATGTCGTGCGTAGGAGAGGAGAAGGCGCGTCCAGTTGTCCGTAGCGATCTTGCGCGAGTTCGGATTGGGCTGCTGTCTGAGGAAGGCGGGGCTTCTCAGTATCGGATGGAGTAGGCTGTGCAATGAGACCCACGTGAAGAAAGGCGGACCAGAGTGTATTGACGGCAAAACAAACCCTAGTCAAACACTCAGAACTCAAGCAGCTTCGTGGGATCTCAGATGCTCACCCGATGGGAGGGTATAAGGAGCAAGAGTCATGTTCATGTTACGTCCTAAGGCTAGCCAAGCATGGTCATTGGTATTCTCTGTATGATCTGCATGTCTACTGTGGCTCACAGTTACGACAATGTCTGGATATGCAGCGCGCTGCCTGTAGGACAAGATGGTTAGCTGTAACTCCGCGCACGACGGACACGGCAGTGGAGGCGCCCGGGCCCGACAACGCAGGACAGACAGACGCCCACAGTCCCCGATAACGAAATTCAAGCATGAACAATTCTTTCAGCATGCACACACGGCCATCGATCTCAAATTGAAGACAGCTCAATTTTACGTGTTCACCCAGAATACATGTCTACCAACGAACTACAACTTCTCGACAATCCTGGACCAAATTGTGGGCATGACCGTCTGGTACACTGACGTTAAATGGCGCAGACGTTTGCTGTCATACAGGAGACTCACCATGACTAACTCATCGAAGTCCAACGTCATCGATCGCTCGCTACCACAGCTACCGCCCCAAGCAGGGCCTGTCTTCGCCGGCGGGCCCGCCAAAGGATGTCGGCTTGATATTGTCGAGTACTGAACAACTAGTACACTTTCAAAGCCCGAAAATCGTAGCAGAGCGTCGGAGCCGAAAGTCATGTTAGATTAGAGTCGCAGTCTGAAGTCGGTCCATGTGAAGCGAGATATCTGGTTGTTGCAAGAGCATATGAGCTAAGTGGTGGAGCAGCTGAAACAGACACATCAGCGGAGTCGGTACTTCTGCACCGTCGGGCGGCTGGCATGGGATCGTCCTCACGCCAAATTTTGCGAGAGTGACCGACGTTGCTCTGCCTCCCTGATCCTCAACTAGAATGGTGGTGACTCAGACCTGTCCTGCCCATGTCCGCACCAGGCTAGGTACGTCGCAGTCAAGTTCCCCTCTGTTTCGTCAAGTTGTATTCGATGCAAGTATTGGAGTTATCGAAGGACCTGGTCCCGATATCTACTTCTTGCGTCAGCGATGGAATGCGTCACTTTCGTTGCCTTCTCCATCTGACGTGGTACACGGGGCTCACTGTCAAAATAGATAGATTCGTGATGTCCAGCACAGAGGAATGGGGGAAGACCACTTGCCAGCGTTGGTCCAGCGGCTAGAACATTGATTGGGTAGGGCCACCGAAACCTCATTGTGAGTGTCCGTCACTATCAGCAGCGTTGCTGTAGCTAGAAGGTTCGAATGCTATAAAGGTGCGGTGGTGGCGTAGGCTTCGTCCGTTCCCCGGCACATTACGCATTCCAGTGCGCAGTCAAAGTGACAGGGTTGGAATAAGAGCATGGGGTCAAATCAGACCGTTAGATATAAAAAGACATTGAAAATGGATCCTCTCAGATGCCATACTAGAGCCAACGCCGACGTCCTTTGATCTAGTTGGCTATGAGAAGTTGCAGGTACGCAAATACCTTTTGGCATCGTATTCCATCACGAACCCGATAAAAGCATTCACCGAGTCAGGGATTGTCGGTGATTGCTTTAACACGAGAACCGAAGCTGTAGAATACGCGATAGAAGTCGCGACTCACAGGTGTCAACGTCCGGTCGTAACGATGCCTTTCCTAGCGGCGGCCGTGAAGTCGACCTGCAGGGGGTCCAAGTCGACCACAGAAAGTATCCGTCGTTCTTGCTGATGGGGCATCTCGGAGGATTACGCAGCGAGGTTGGTGTAGATTGCACTAGAACAAGCCAACGAGTAACTCCCAATGAAGGTCTGTACTCGGGGCAAGTCCATAGAGCCAATGAAAGACTCCACTCACCTAACGAGAAAAGCTCCTCAAGTCTGAGACGACGAGAAGGTGCGCCGCCTGAAGGCACAGGATGTGAGCTCACATACTCGACTCTCAGGTAGGTAGAGACTACAACGAGCACTGCACACCTCAGGGTTAACCGCACTTGCAGGTCTCAGACCTCCCTTCAGGTCTCAAACCTCTCTCTTCCCTGCCCAGGACCCTGTCCCCAGTGCTGCCCCTAGCCGTCGTTGGCCGCCTCTGCTCTCACCTGTCCTGCCCTTCTTCCCTGCCCAACGACGCCAGTCTCTGCTCCGACCTGTCCCGCCCTTCTCCCCTGCTACTACAGGTAGTTGACGCAAGCTACGACATCCACCATCCCGGAGACTACTCGTGGCTGCTGACTAGTCTGACGCTGTGGGAGGTAGTGGCCGTTGACCGCGAAGGCCGGGCCAATAGTCATGACGACCATCACTCATACCGTCGAAGACGCATGATATCAGGCAGTGAGCTGGACAGAGACATAGATCCGGGCCTATCGAGAACACAACGGGCGGAGGGGCTGGACTGCCGATGGCGCGCATAGTGGGAGCTGCCAAGTCGCGAATACAAGGCCTAATCTGGCAATTGTCCCAACCAAGTCGGCCTCCCAATATCGTCTCGACACGGCATGATCGACACAGTCCCCTCGGCCTCGCAACTCGGCGGTTTTCTCCGAAATTATCTCCAGAATAGCTTGCCTGATAACCCTCGCTTACTGCGTGTTATGTGCAGAACCCGGACTCCTACGACGGCTACTTTGTCGCGACATCCATGGCACTCTCCCTTGGCAAGCAACCGGTCCGAACGGGATTACACCCTCCACAAGCAGGCCATGCTTCGTAGCGGGTAACGGTTGAGAGGTGCATGGCGACAGCAAGTGAGTTATTCTAGTATACAAGCTGCGTGGAGAGGACCGATCGGTCTAGAAGGCCGTCAGCGGTGCGTTGTGCTGATGGCCGTGTCTCATTGTGGTTTCCTCCGAAGGACCCTCGTATGAGCATATCTGGGTTGGGAGTTCATTGCTGGTGTTCCGGTCCCGCGATATGGCGCGAACTTTCCTCCTCATGTTCGCAGCGAGCATCCCATTACATTGTCTCCGAGCGTTCATTCCGCGGTGACTGCCTAGTCCTTCGTTCAGTCGATCATAGCTCCTGTTCCACCTGGTTTCGCTGCAAACCGTGCTGCTGGGTACCTATCTTCCACGTGTCCTGCACCGTCACCAACACCTTTAATGACTTTCCACTACATTCCTCCAGTGGGACTACTCTCCAGACAATGTGGTGCGCTGTTCCACAAGGCTCCTTGCTTCTCCAGCATTGCTGGCTTCCTACTTCTATCCGAGTCCAATCCTAGGTATCACACCCATTTCTTAAGGTCTGCTTCACTCGTTTGATGATCGCACCTTCGATACAGCGCATCCTCGCACCCTTGGCGAGCAACCCTTACGCACCTGGGTATACGGTACGACCCCAAAGCAGCTCGGCGCGCATCCTTGTGCTCTGACGTTCGCACACACCACGGCCTGCTCTTGGTCATGGTACGATGCACAAAAATCTGGGGTGCTCCTCTCCTCGCGCCGATATCCCCTTCGACAAACTGGCACATTTCTAAAGCGGTGGTTCACAAGGACCTTGCTATAATGAAAGCTCTCTAATGTGCTGTATCTTCTTAGTATCCGACTGCATAACTTGGTCCGCAGGGTAAGATTGTAAGAGTGTAATAATCAGCCTGTGAGATCGACTTGATAATAGGTGCTCACTGGCAGGGCCATCAAAGTAACTATGTAGTGGTTCGGATCTGAGGACTTCCCTTATGCGCCGCGAAGTACTGCTAGTGCTGCATACGGGCTATATATATTTGTGTGTTGGTCGACTTAGCGTGTCTCTGTTAGTATATCGGTTAGTACACGCGCCTGTCATGATATGGCCGCGCGAAAGCGGGGTTCGACTCCCCGACAGAGAGATTATATTTTGCTTCCCGCAGGGTTGCTCACATCGGATGTTCTACCAGACAGACCAATATTGCTCAATCGTGTGGTTACCTGCTACAATGACTAGAGGAGTCGGTTAATCGTCGCGTGAGTATCACACCCAGCTGTTTGGCGAAGCGGGCTTCGGGCACGGTATCCGCTAATCAGCTGGTAACATTGTATGATACGATCGGATAAGCCGACATCATAAACCTGAAAGTTATTCGATGGAAAAATAGCGTCGGTTGTGAGAGGGGAGCGTAAAAATACTCCGACTGTCAAGATTTGTGTCGGCACCTCATTCACTCTCTTCATCTCCTAGGAATGCCATGATACTCTGCCTTGCAGTAGGCTGAAAGGGGATCCGTGAGCGGAATGTGTGCAGCGCAAGAATAAAAGTGAACTGACACGACGCTTCGGCGCCACTTCGATGTCGGAGCTATCCAAAGGTTCTGATTTGGCTGCAGTCGATTTCTCTAACCGGTGGCGGCGACCAGCGGATTGAAATTTCTGGGCAAACTCTTGAACATCCTCTGGGGGAGCGGTGCGTACATTAGCGGTGAGATATACAGCTTGGGAAGATTGACTAGTGAGCATACCGAGCTCCTTCTCAAACTCCCGCTTCTCCTTGATCGCTTTCGCTTGCTCCATGCTCATTCTTCTACTCATGCCCAGGTCGGTCAGGATCTGGCGGAGGCGGCGGATCTGATCCGAGGGCTTATCGAGGTCTTTGAACTCCTTAGACCACACCTTGCGAACGCCGCAAGCGACCACGAGTGACTGAGGACGACCAATCAGTCGTGCGAGCCAGTGTGATCAAAGCGACTAACTTTAAGACGCTTGATAGTCTCCTCGTCTTTGGACAGCTCCTTGGCGGGCTCCTTCCGTTTGCGACCTCCTGTACCCTTCTCACCCTACACGGAGCCAGGCGGTATTAGAACGCGCAGTATGGGGTAGGAAATAGGATATCACACTTACACGCGATGGACCCTGCATAATTACAGGGAGTAGATCAAGACATGACTGGCTGTCAGCAACGTGGCTGGACACATACGAACCCATACCATAGAGGGTAAACATACCGTGCTTGTTTCCGCCTTCTTTTTGCGCTTCCGCACAGGCAGCTCGTCGTCTATCAGCACCGACATCTCGGACTCGCTCTTCTGTAATAGGGGGGACGAGCAAAGACGTAAGGAAGGTGGAGCTCAACAGATAGAATCCGCGGGGTGGAGCATTTCGGCAACTGACCTCACCATCGCCTCCACGATGCTGCTCATCTTCCGAAGATTTGTGCTGCAACGTCTCTTGCCCATCTACAGGAGATGATGGCGATATGGCAATTTGTTCCTCTTTAGAGGGCGTCGTAGTCCTCTGACGTTTCACCGGCGGTTCAGGCTCGTCTGCTTCCGAAGCCTGAGACATGGCGTTCAGTCACGATAAGAGATGCCGCGGCGCGAATGGAGAGCCAGACTGACTTCATTCTCGCTGTCTACGCGTTTGACTGGGCCAGTGGACCTCTTTATAACTTTCGGCTTTATTGCTGTGGGATTGCCCTCCACATCCTCATCGGATGTCGGAACGACGGACTGATTCCAGACGCAAACCATCAGCAGCTCTCTGAGATGTCAAGGGAGATTGAACGCACAGGCGATCTAGTGCTTTTCTTGCCCTTTGCCGCCTGCTTTGCAATTCTATTATTATCGACCTTCGCATTTGAAGCGGACGGCCGAGACTGGCGGGGCTTCGTAGGTTTGGGTTCCGCATCTGCAAAGGACTTGACCATCTTGTTCTTGAGCAGTCTAGATGATTCTTTCTCTTCATCCTCTGCTGATGCACCTTCATCATGTGTGGCCTATGGGAACGTCCATCAGCCGGCGAGAGTCTAACATGCGAGAAAGTGTAACTTGCAATGTAGTCTTGGACGACATCTTTGACTGCAGATTTGTATGGTGCCTCGTCGAGAGCACCTTGTGCCAAGTCCATGGCATCTTCAACATTCCTTCTTATGGCCTTCAAGGAGTTCTGTCTGGGGCTTTCGTCAGCGACCTCTGCGTACGCCTATATGCCGAGGAGCGTACGCCCCAAAGTGGCTGCTTGTGACGCACTGGAGCTTCCCTTCCTTGACAACCTGCGAGATGACTTTCAGCGCAGTTTTGCGAATCAGTTCCATGTTCATATCCATGGTGACCGTCCCTGATGCACGTAGGGCGCACTCAAATGTAGTATGCGGTGCCAGATGCGGGGTGGTGGCTGGAAGACTTGTGAGTTTGGCGAGACGCGTCGCGCGACGCGCCGGGGATAGCACGTTTGCGCATGTTTGTCCTTGCTTGCACAGCCACATACTAGACACGACCGAAAACCTCCAGTCACGATTTTTCCTCGTAGGGTCACGCGGATCCTAAAGCAAGTAGAGATCGGAGCAGAATATTATGTTGCTACAGATGAGCCGCGGCATATTACAATACAAAAGGTCGTTATGAGTTTCCCTAAGTTACCAAGAATACAAACGTCACGGGTTGTTCAGCGTGTTACACGAGAGTCGAGAGCAAAGTCAAGCAATGTAGATAGCATCAGAAAACGTCAGCAAGAACGTGAGAAGGCATGTGTAGAGAGTGCAGAGGACCACATCTCCGGCGCGAAGTGAATATCCAGATCTACTTCGCGGGATAGATCCAGCTGGTGCAAACCTCGGCTTGACAATTGGCAGTTGACGAAGGTGGCCTCTGCTTAGAGGTCGCCCTTTTTCCCGCCCATGGCACGGAGGAGACCGCGCATGGCCAGTTTCGCCGATGGCTTCTTCGCAATCGCCTCCTGAATAGGGCGAGGCGAGAGAGGAGTAATATGGCGCGGGACTTCGGGCCGCATCCGCGCGGACTTCGGCGGAACAGCAGGGGCGAAGGAGGTCGCGAGGAAGTCGTCACGAACCCGCTCTGCATCCAACGGGTTCGTTGGGCACTTGAATGCCGGGCTAGGCGGAGTAAGCCTAAGGGGAGCAGGCCGCTTGCGCTGTTTGGTCGAGGGCGCCTTCGAGGCGTGCATGGTAGAAGTTGGGGTGACGGCACCTTCGGGCACAGGGAAGACATCGAGTAAGAACTCGGGCTTGCGGAGATGCTTGGCTGTGCGACGCGTGCGTGCAGGGATAGCGAGAACGGACATCCCAGGGCGACGAGCGCAGGCAGGAGCAAGGGCGCTCCCAAATGCAGCGAGGTCGTCACGACTGTCCTCCGTTTGCATCGCATAACGGGGATCTAAGTCGGAGTCCTGACTCGAGACGCTGCCGCGGCGAGGCTCGTCGTTCTCAGAAGGAATGAGGGAGGATTTGCGCGGCTTTGTGGGCGACTCGAAGCGCACCCAGCTCTCCTCGCTTCCGCAGCACTCCTCGTCACCGCCGAGGAGATGCGCGTACTCCCATTCCTCGTCCTGGTCGCGCCAGACACCGCCCTCGCCATCGCGGTAGACATCCGTGACACCAACCAGACGACCGTCACGTGTCACCTCGGTCGCACCACCGGCCTTGGCTTGGGCCTCAGCGAAGCGGCGGATGTGGTCCTCGATTGAGCCCCCATCGGCCAGCTGCGCGAGGGCAAGCTCGGCAGCAAGCGGGGGAGGGCGAAACTTAGCGTACTTGGACTTCTTGTTCGCGCTAATGGCCGCACTCGCCTGGACACGCGCAGCTTTGGAGCTCGCGTGGACAGAGGACTTCATAGCGGGAGAAGGAGGACCGCGCATGGCTGAGAACTGCGAGCGGGCACGCCTTCCTGTCTTCAATACGGACAGCGACCGGAAGTGCTTGAGACCTTTGACCGGCTTGACTGGGCTGGAGGGCGAGCGAGGAACTGCAGGAACGCGGGTGAACGAGGGCGGCGGACGGCTCTTGTTCCCCGCGCCAGTGTAAAGAGGAATGGTCGCAGAAAGCGGTGTCTCTGGGAAGTGCACGAAGACGGATGTGTATCCCACGGCGGTAAGATCCGGCTTGAAGTCTTTGACTGACGGGGTGATGACTTGGCTGTTTACGAAAGACGCTGAGTGCGGGGTTCCTGCGGTGACAGACGGGCGCCGAGAGATGATAGAAGCTGAGCCGTAAGACGAGCGACGAGTACTTGAGAGAGAAGAGCGGCGACAGGGCGAGTATGGAGCGGGAGAGCCAGGCTGGACAGCGCTCACCCAGGCCGCGATAGCAGAGGTCGTGGCAGACCTACGCCTAGGGTACGGCTGTGAGCACGGAGCGCGCTTAAGTGTCGGTGGAGAAGGGAGAGGCTGCGTGGGGCGTTTCTTCTGCGGAGGTGGATATGCGAGGAATGCGTAGGCTGGGGCTTGCGCGTCCGTGGAGATGGCTTGAGTGGTCGTAGTAGTAGCAGACATGAGTGAATTGGTGCGTGACCGTATGCGGGCGTGGAATGGAAGAAACGTCTGAGCGATGCAACGTACGTTAGGAGCTGCGGTAGGAGCGGAGGCGGCGGCGGAAGTAAGGAATGGCTTACCAGAAACGGATGCAGAACGTAACAAGTATTCTAGAGAAACACAGAGAAGAGGCGAAATGCGTCAGATGTGAGCGAGCTCGAAGGCGAAGACGATTTGCTAGATAAGGCTACAGAGGACAGACAGGTCCAAGCAAACAAGGGTATGTAGTATGAGAGCGAGGCAGGGGAGATGGAGGAGCACTAGACTAGCTGGTGTTGTCTTTCGGCTCTGCACGAGTCGTCCTTATGAACAGGGAGTGGACAAAAGTGTCCGCCTTGCCCTGGCGAGGGACAATTGTCGTCGGTTGAATTGTACGTATCAACATGGTCTATAAACACGAGCGAGCGCTTGTCGTCTGCGAACCAAAGCGGTAAACGCGCGCCCACATCAGCACATAACCGGGACCCCGGGCACTTGCGTACACACGCTCAAGCGCCGCCATTGTCTCTTCCGGGGGATTCCACCAAAGTCATACCTCGGGGTCCCTGCCAGAATACAACGCCTCCCATAACGAGGACAACGCCCTGTGTCCATCGAGCTGTAAAGACAATAAGGCTGGCCACGCATGGGCTACCCATGACCTTCTAACTTCTCTTCTGCGATGTTGACAGTTTGTATCAGTGTGGGTGAGCCGTGCGCCTGGTCAATGTCGCCCTGTTTGTGCGACTTCCAACGAGCGCCTAATCCGTCCTATGGACTTAAGTTTCCACCAAACGCAATATATAGTACTGTTTGGCTAACTTCCCATGATATAGCAACCGATGAAGCCTCCCATATATGTGTCGACGGACTCGCAACATCTTATGCCTCGTGCTATCCTGCGAGCACGAGGCCGGGACGCATGTGAAGGAGGCGCCCCTGGAAACCGCGACAACAGCGACACAGCCTACTACAGGTCCCGCACTTCGACTTGTGTTTGGGCGGAATCAACAATGTTGGATCCCATGTGTTGTCGGCAATTGCATAGCATGCATCGCCGTAAGATCGTGGAAGTCGAGGCAAGTGGGAATTATAGAAGCCTCAACGTGCGGGCGAAAGGGATTTGGAAGATTCCTGCTGAAACTCCGCATATGAACATGGTATATGTATGGACTGTACGGTACAAAGGTACGTGAGACGTGGCCTATGTTCTGACCTGCCCCCAGTGCTGGATGAATTAATTTACCCTAGCATGTACGCAAGCGCAACGCTCGGCGCGACTGATCCTGCAGGAATCGCCTGGTGTTGTAACGGTCGTAAGATGCCGAGTGGTTGCGGTCTCCGACGAAATAGATGGAGAACGTTGCGAACATGTCCGCAGGAAGCAAGTCAGACGAGGGTCTGTACTTGTAGCTGCGCACTATCTGCGACGGCTTTCGCGAACTCTGCGAACTCCGATCGTGACGCCTTTCCTCTCTGGAAACCAACGCTGGCATCAACAAAAGGAAGAGGAGCAATGCCGCTATGGTTACGTACCTTCAGCGCGTAGATTACTAAGTGTTCCTGCTGAGTATCCTCGATAGGCTCCTTGAGGGTCACACGGAGGGCGCCTTGCGCTTCGTCGAAGGTGCACCGAACCGTTGGCCGCAGCCGCACGCTCATCGTAACCTTCCAAATCGGCTCCCTCCGGAACACTACAGCCCGCATCAGATTAATGCACTGAAGTGGAAGCAACGTGACGCACGTATCCGCAGGTGGCCAGTCTCCTTGTGCTTGAGGATCTTCACGTTCCCGAGTATCCCTTCACAGAAGTCGCGATCGCCTCGCTTGATGAAGACCTTAGCCCCTTTGATCTCCGTCTGTACCTCCTCATCCTCCTCGCCAGTCAGGACTATGTCGAGAACTGCCTCAGCTTTTCCGCGAGGTGATGCAAATCGACGGTCTGCATACCGTACCTTTCTGGGCACTCGGTACAGGATGTATCGATGCAGCCAAGGGGTCGCTCGGGTCCGAGGAAGCAAATGCTGGCGACGTTTGGCTGAGGGCTGAAACCGAACCGCTCATGTCTGTTGACCAGACAGGTGTGTGTTGAGCACCTGCGAATGAATTCGCGAACGCGGAGCGCTGTCCTGAAAAGGCTGAAAACGCGGAGGAGGGTTTGGTCTGTAACGGCAGAATGTCAATTGGATACGGTGCGAATTGGAACGGCATTGGACATACTGCTACAAGAGAAGGATTCGCGTGCCACGATGCGCTAAAATTCGGAGGTTGAACGGCAGCCTTCGCGGCAGAAAGGCTCTGCGGAAAGCCAAGGGGCGCAGTTTGGCTGGTAGCCGGAGGCAGCCCCACGCATGGTGTAGGCACTTGTTCCGTGACTGCAGGCACCTCATCTGACCTCGGCTCCTCGAGCTCCGTGGCGATAGCGGTGGCGGCAGTCGCCTTAGCTTCGGCCTGTACGAGTGGCGTTTCATCGCAGTTGGGAGCGCACAGTTGCGGCGTGTTCTCCTCAGTTTTGATGACGTCCTCTTCGCGCTCCTCCCTCTCCGCAGGTGGCGTCCTGCGCCGCTTCGTAGGGGGAGTGTCGGTATTTTGTTGCTACGCCACATATGAACCGTTCAGCATGTCCCGTGCTCTATACGGGCCGTGAATGAAGGATCACACTCACCGCAAGTCCTGGCGATGGCGAGCGCTTGCGCTTCAACAACCCGTCCTCGGGATCCGCGACCTTCTCTGTAGACTGCCAAACATACAGACCGGATCAACACTTGCCCCGCGATAGCTGCCCCATCGCGTCTACCCATCGTCGCCGGTCCGCAGAAGCCACACTTGCTCGTGGCGCGTTGGCCCCAGTATCATGAGGGTTGCCGCGAGGGCGCACAGCTGACGAGAGGTGCTCACGCTTTGTTCATGTTCATGGTCCCGATCGGCGGACACGGGCGTGCCACACTGACTTGCAGAAGGTTCCGTGCCGGCGTCGCTCCCGCTAAGACTAGGGCCGACGCTCACGGACCGCGCGCTTGCGGTGCTGTTCCTGCGATGGAACTTGAGAAATCCTAGCCGACTCTCTTTCTTGGCGCGCTCGCTTTCAGCATGTCTGTGGCAATATCGCGGGAATATGAGGGAAATGCGTAGGTCGCGACGATTCGGTCCATATGTCAGCCTCTCGGAATCACAAGGGTCGAATGGATTATGCTTACCCATTGGAGTTTCGGCCGCGCCTGCGGGAGACGTTGTAGCCTACCGCGGCAGAGAACGTTGCGAGGGCGCAAGCGACGAAATTAAAGTCGTTCAAAGGAAACATGGTACAGATTGCCCTTCGCTGAGTCACCAGATTCGTGTGCAAGGATTCTGTGGACGAACGTGGACTTCGAGCGTCGCCGTCGTGCTAAGTCTCGAGGCTCGAAGCTGCAAGACCGGGTGGTGGGTAGTGAAGCGTATCGCGGTCGAGGTGATGAGTACTGAGAGAGAAAATGTGCACAAATGTCTCATGACTTGCTTTTAACATGGGGTACGAAGTCCACGCGCACGACATGAGGTGACAGTTAGCACAACACGTGTGGGGACTTGCGCGATAGCCATCAGTAGTTGCCTGTAGATACACAGCTGGCCTCTTCAGGTTCGAGCTGTACACTGGGCATGAGCGATATCAGAGCATGGGGCATGGGGAGGGTGGTAGGAGAGCTGCGAAACAAGCATGGCTATAATCATCGTTTAGCAAGAGACTCATGGGAGCATTCCCAGTGCAAGAACCGGCGATCGTGAGAGGAGGCGGGTGTGTCTGCAGCCCGAAATGGGTGTGGACACGTGGAGGGCTCGACAATCTGGAAGGAGTAGCTGCCATTTATGGATGAAACAGGCTCCCCCAGCCGTCGTCCTCCTTGCCACGTACGCGGGCGGTGTACGAGAGCGAGTCCCGAGTCGCAGTTTGACAGTAATCTACCGCCTTGAGGCGGTTCCCGCCCAACAAAAGTCGCAGGCAAGATGTATCGTGGGTCATCGGTCAGCGCAACTGTCGTCGGCACCGCTGAGAGCAGCACCGGGGCGGTGGGAAACGCTCTATAGTGGTTCCGCCACGTCAGCCTGAGTCGGGACGGTTACCCACGCGGCGCGCACCGATCCTATAACTTCAAGTCCACATCTCTCGTCGACGTTCCCGCTACACTTCTGTGTGCACTCAGCTCTCGACCACATTTGAGGCAGCCTTGTACACCACTCTCGACCGCCATGCAGCTCCAGTATTGGTTTGCGCTGGCTGTCGCGCTGACGCCTTCGCTGTCGTCGGCCGCGATCTTCCCTAAGGACACACTCGTGAAGATGATTGATGCGAAGGGTTTCAAGGATGCTATGAAAGCAAACGTATGTCCGTCTGCCTTATACTTACAGTTACTCCCACACGCGCCAAGTGGCCACAGCGCCATCTGTGCATAGTCCTTTCGCCTTCACGAAGTAATGCCGGACGTGGGTGGCTGTTACAAAGGAGCGCTGGTCGAGCTACTCCGAGTGATGTGCTAACTCTCCATTGCGTAGGCGACATCATTGGTTGCGTTCGTCGCGCCTTGGTGCGGGGTACGTTTCACCCTTCTTCATGTGCTCTCGTCAGGGGATATTCACAGAGAAGCAGCACTGCCAACGGATGGCCCCCGAGTACAGCAAGGCCGCACTCGGCCTGTATCCAATGATTCCGTTCTACGCTGTCGACTGCGACAAGGCAAGCAACAAGAAGTTCTGCGCGGACCAGGGGGTGCAGGGCTTCCCCACCGTCAAGGCATGTCTGCATGTCGGTGTTCTGTTTCCATTCATCCGGCATTAACACTTCCCTGCCAACCTCAGCTATTCCCGCGCGGCGGTAAGTCGAAGCCGGTCTTGTTCGACGGACCGAACCGAAGTGCAAGTGCCTTCTACTACTGGGCCTTGCGCAATATCCCCCACAAAGTCAAAAAGGTCTACCATCTGGAGGATCTGCCTGCATGGATAGAGGAGGTGCGTGTTCGCAGGTTGCACGCTTTGTCGCTTCAGGACGACCCTGACCGTCCGTACAGAACAAGGAGCTTCCTCGCGCCGTTCTCCTCAACCAGGGCAAGGACGTCCCTCTTCTCTGGCAGACGCTGGACAACAAGTATCAGGGTCAGATCAAGTTCGCCGTTCACCGCGATCGACGCGGAAAGAGTTCCTTGAAGATGGGGCTCGAGCAGGGCGAACCTAAGTCGTCCAAGGTTCTGCTGTATCCAGCAGGTTCGACGGAGTACGTCCGCTATGAGGGTGCGTGTCGAGCCTCACGATCATCGAGGTCTGAGCTAACATGGTGACGCCGCGTACCAGGCATTCAGAAGCACGACTCGCTATCAAAGTTCTTCGATTCGGTTCTCGACGGTACTGCTGACCTCACGACACTGAACAAGCAGGCGGCAGAAGAAGAGTTCGTCCCAGATGAGGCGTTGCTGGAGATCGAGCGTAAGCAAGAGGCGCAGCGTATGGCACTTGCGCACGGTGGCTTTAGCAACCTCATCGACTTCGAGGAGGCCATCAAAAACGGCGCTGGGGCTGACTATCACTCGAAGAACGGCTTTCCGGGCATGATGGGAGGCTCACTGCCCAAGAAGGAGAAGGAGAGCGGGAAGGCTAAGGCTGAGGAGGATCCAATACGGAAGATCTTGAAGGCGCAGCAGGAGGCAGAGAAGAGCGAGCGCGGGAAACCGAAGATGGCGAAGACAGATGACGCGGGCCAGGTCGTGTTCACGCCGCAGTCGACGGGGCATCCGAAGACGCCAGCTGCTGGAGAAACCACGACCGGCTCAGAGGCAACGGTTGCGGAATCTGCTTCTTCAACTCTTGAGACATTGTCCGCACCGGCTGATGAAGCGTCATCGACGACGTCAGATACCGCAAGGGGCGCCGCTACCTCCTCTGCGGTCGGAGAAACGAAGGCGGGAGGGCATGCGACTGATGAATTATAACTGCATCTCTGGGGACAGCGCGGTGTCGGCGATACCTTAAGCTCGGTTTGTGGGTGACCGACATGTAATTTATCGACATGCTTCCAAGGTTCTGATCGCATTTGTATTCCTGTCGCACCCATTGGGTGTGCTCCGAGCGCGTGTTCGTCATGATTTTGGGTTCATGCTGGGCTGTCTGGTAAGCTTAGTGATATTATTGTGAGATCTGGCCCGAAAGGCATGCCAACGAGCCACCTATATCACAGGCAGTGCTACGCGGCGGGGTAGGAAGTGGGATTACCATAACGGTCTTGTGGGGCGTTGTGCGACGCGGGAGAAGAGGGGCGGACTGACACCGGTTCTGGATCCCATGCATAGCGTGCCTACCATGCCCGATCAGCATTCTGGGCGCTGGCTGGTTGGCTAGCCAAGGTGTACACCTCGGAAAAGACGACTTTACGCGTTCATGCACCGAGGCCCGGGAGTCCGGTGCGAGCATGAGGTGGTTGCTTCGTAAACTTCTATTCGTACATTGCTTCATCAATAGGGTGCGTATCTCGTGACATTCCCATCGTGATTGGCTGCTAATATCCACCGTCCGTTCGGGACTGTACATCGATAGCAAGCGGCTGAGCAGCGTTCAGGCCAGGTTCGAGGGCGGCTCTACCCTGATCAGACTCATTTCGAGGGGGCATCTCCGCCCTGTCGTGTCTTAGCTTTGGATGCTCTACGACGAAAGTTATAGCCTGCCAGTACACCAGGGCGGATGTACGCGGTGAATCGCTAGCATGCTTGACGCCACAAAGGCGAACCCTGCCTCGTGCTTCTTTAATAGATCCCACGGTTCCCACTCACCACGGGTCAGTCGTTAAGGTCGTGCTCGAAGAGGCTCTGTCACGGAATGGGTTCGGAGATCAAGAACGCGTACGCCTACATCACCTTGGCCTCCGGCAGATTCGCGTTGGCAGATCGCGTTCCCATACCCCCCCCCCCAGGATCCATACGGAGCATCTGCTCCCGCCAGACGGTAGGAACTGGTAGGTTCGTAGGATTTTGGCTAACCAATTGCCAGATGTGATGCGCGACCCGGACCGCCTCAACGTTCCAAGCACTCGTCGAGGCGATCCTTCAGGACAGACCACAGACCTGGCCTCAGCCATGCTGTCGCTGAGAGCTGATCTATGTCTGCTAACAGACCCCGCCATGGGTATAAGTATGGGCAGAGGACCGCTGTTCAAGGGGCAGAGCGTCGCAAGTCGACTCTCGGCACATACAAGTATCCACTCTCCACCGTACTCCCTACCACCCCCGGGGTCATGTCTCAGCATCGGTTTCGTGTCAACCCGCAGCCCTCCTACTCTGAGCGGATGACGCAGACCCGAAGCGAGTTGCGCACCCTCGTGAAGCAAAAGCTTTGTACGTAGTTTCTGCCGGTTTCTCTGCTTTGATTGACGTCTTCTCTTTGGTAGGCGACATCACGGGCGAGCCGAATGCCCAGATGCGTTGGACGCGCACCGCGTACATGCGGGACGTCGTGTCGCGATACCGAGTCCGTATCGAAGGGTGGCCCCTCTCAGAGATCCCACTCAAGAACCTCTCCGACGTGCCTAACCTCGGCAAGTTGGAGCTCCTTCTGGCGCGTTGGAGGGCCGGTACTATCTACTTCCGCCGCATTTCGCAGGCCGAGTATGACGCTATGGTCGCCGACCCTGTCCCATGGGTCGGCCCAGAGGAGCAAGAGCAAGAGCGGGAGCACGAAGACGCCTGACTTCGACATGTTCGTCGACGTCGACAGCCCCTCGCGCTTTGGCTTTACACTCAGTGAGCGATAGACATCTCCCTCTCACATAATCGACGACCATGCACTGACCTGAGACATTGCTTCAGCCTTGCTTCCTCCACGGGTCTCGGGTATCGGTGAATCTGTTGCACGACTGTATCATGTATTTCGAAGGCTCCCTCCTGTATCCTGTCAGTGATCATGGTCCCGCCATCTGTGTAATTATCTATCGTTGCCCCACGTACACTATAAGCTTAGTGTTCCCGCGTGAAGGCAAGGCAGTGACCCCGAATGCTCAGATCTGGCGCTCGAGTCGTCATTCCTATTTCCCGTGAACGCCTCTATCGCGAACATCTCCCGGGGGTCGGAGATCGAACTCATATCGTGCCCTGCTCAACATAGCGTCGTTGGTGGCGATACGCTCGACTGCTGCATATGCTTAAGCTAAAATTCGCGAGTGCCCGTGCCTCGGTGTCGCCGGCGTTCATGCCGACACAGCACGATTGAGGGAGGCCTCGCGTCGTTAGCGTCTGAGAGTTGTGTGCGTCCAGTCCGAGGTCGCGGGTTGAACATGCTGGAGGTGGCAGGTAGCGATGTGACTCACCGACTCGAGCCGGGCCGTAACAGGATCCGGCATGCCCTGCTCGCTTTCAAGTTCCTTCTCCTTCCTCTATGTCTTTCTGTCTTTCTTTCTGTCTTGACCCCAGTCGTTGCCCCGGTGCGACATCACGCCTCCGATTCACAGTGATAGGCCTTGCGTTCCTGTAATTCAGTAGCTACTGTGATAAAGTGATGAGATTTGGACACATCTGGCCAGTGGTGTGCTTGCTAACCGCGTTTAGTAGGTATGTTCGTAGCGAGATTGGCGTCCTTTCTATGGTCTCGCAAAGGAGTAGATAGACTTTTCCTTTAGAGTTCGGTAGCATCTGCCACTGTCTTCCGCTATGTGCGGGGTTTAACCGTGCTATCAACCTATGAAAATGGGATGTGCGTGCTTTGACTGGACTACTCATAGTGAGAGGTCGGCGACAGTCCTAATCAAGTGGTTTTGAGCACCGCATAGCACCGAAGGACACGTCCACTAGGCTCAATCGGATGCAACGGATATTTAGTAGCCTCAGCATGTTAGAACGTCTCTCGCATTGATTGCAGCGTCGAGAACTCACGACAGGAGAGCACCACAATACAACGAACAAGATACGGCCCACACAGTGCGGGATAGTACGTGCTAGTGCTACGATATTGTATCTGTATGCACGAAGTTGGACCCCCTATCTGTCCGGCAGCGCACAGTTTGTCGAGAAGCGTGTGCACAGACCTCATGCAGCGTTGCTCAACGGGAGATCGACGGGATTGAGATCATAGATATAGATGATAGATGATAGATCGTCGGGTCCACCATCGATAGAAACGCACCGTCTTGCACTGCGAATGTATAGGGGGTACATGATGGCTTGTGAAGGGGGAGGGGACTAGCTCACCGGCGGTGGGGATCTAGCTATTAGTGATAGGATCCAGGCAAAGCGACGCGACCATTACCCATGCTTCCACAGCCCTATCTCCTGACACACAGAACCCTACGTCGCTACGGATATTGGCTCTAAGGATCAGGGGTTGCCTCAGAGAGCCAACCACAATCAGAGGCCCCTTACCGACCGTCCATGCGAACTCTGCCAACTTGATCATTACCGGGTGATGACGCACGCACAGTAGGCGTGGGTACTAGCAGGCGTGGCGATTTGCTTTGCACGAGATGACACCAGAACCCCCACCCCAGACGATGGAATTTGAGGCAGGAACAGCCAGAAAGCGGAACAATCACGGCGTTCTGGCAGGGCAGCTGGTTCTCTTCCGGACACGCCTAGATCTATCTCGACAAAAACGACGCGGAAGAAGACAGGTAAAATATATAATATACTAGCAGACAAAGGTTGACAGAATTTACGCAAGAGCTTTTCGTCTCGCTAGAGGCTTTGACTTCTTCCTCTTCTTGCCATTAGCGAATACGTTAGCTGTCTTGAGGTCACGGCCCAGTAGATCCTCTTTCTTGACCTGATAGATGCGGACCTGATCACGAAGGCAGAATGTCATGAGAACCCCAAGCACAGACGGGGAACGCGCAAGAGACTCACAATCCAATTCTCCGAAGTAAATGCCTCATCTGTCCAAGGCGGAGCACATATAAGCAAACTCGGTCATCGTCGTCGGGTAATGGCATGCAAACTCACCCAGGTAATCGAGCGTAGGGCCCGTCTTCGGGACCTGCTGACCGCGCACACGATCGACGGCTTGACTCCCACCGAACAACTCCGCAAACCTGCCATAAAAGGGTACTCATGAGCAAGCATGGAGAACAGGCGGTAGCCCTCGGGCCAGCACGCTGCACGCGGCCGCCATGCCAGAGGCGCCAGGACACACGCACCGGTAGTAGGACATCTTGTACATGAGGCTGTTCTTCATCGTCGGAGACGCCGCATCGTCGATCCGGTACTCGCCCTTGGGTGTGAAGTAGTTGGGCTCCTGGATCTCGTCCGGCCAGACGCCCTGCGCGATGCGGACCATCCAGAGGAACTTGTTGATGTCGTCGCCCGAGTAGCCGATGAGACCCCCGAAGATGATGAGCACATAGTCGACGTCATGCTTGCGCAGGATCGGGTATGCGACCTCCTCGGGGCTCGACATCGCCTTCCCGACGGTCGCGATGTGCGCTACGACCGAGACAGCGGAAGGTTAGCGTTCCATGGGGACGGAGATTGAGGTGCCGATGAAAGGAAGAAGATGACTGACTATTGTTCCAGGTGTTGTTGTCAACCAATGTCGGCCTATCCGCCATACCGGCAATTTGATATCCATAGTCCCACCAACTCATCACGACCGCGTCCTGCGGCGTGTTCTGTCGGAGCCAGTAGTACGCCTCGCGGAAGTCGTCGATTATGTGCTGGCTCCCGTCCGGGTTCTGGGACGCGAGCACGACCGACGGGGATGAGTAGGCGCTAGAGGTGACGTAGGTGCAGTGGAGGACAAAGAAGAGGAGCATGCCGAGCGCGTTGACCACGATCAAAAGCCGCGTATCGAGCCCGAATATCCCGCGCGCCTTGGGGCTCTTGGACTGACCGCCAATCGCAGCGACGATGCCAGACGCGATGCCAGTAGAGGATGCATCGGCGGCAGCGGCAGCGGCCTTCTTGGCCTTCTTACTGGACACAGCACCATCAACCGTCGCGGGAGAAGCCGCAGAGGAGTCGCCACCGGTAGCTGGCACGGCGACCTCCGAGACCTCGGGCTCTACAGGATCGATGTATGTGTCCAAGAGGGACGAGAAGGCGACGGCGGCAGCAACGCATACGACAGGTGTGAGTGTCAGCATGAGACGGACCATGACGCCTGCAAAATAACTGGCGACGACCGCGTAAATGATCACGAAGACGTGCTCGTCGCGTAGCTCACGGAAGCAAAGGATCACGCCGGCTGGGAAGAGGAAAATGAGGAACTGCAGATCCATGAAAAACGACGGCCATGCGGTGGGCTGGTGCTCCGAGACCGAGGCGATGATGGGAATGTATCTATCGTGCGACGGCACGACGGGACGCGGCGTTCATGAGCATTCAGTCTGACAAGCGCGCTAAACGGCTAAACTTACTTTTTTGCGTAACCCGTGTCCCACAGCGAGTAGAACCGCCCGGTCCAGGGTGCAATCCAGCCCTTGTACGTGAGTCCCGCGAAGGCGAGAACACCGAGTACGCCGATAACGATGACTGAGCCGAACAGGATGCTCTGGAACTGCCTCGAGGACACGTGAGCACGTACGAGCTCAGCGAAGGCGACGATCTGCAAGAGGCCGAAGACACCTGCCGCGAAGGTCATGTTGGTTCAGTACCATGCTAAAGCGACGATCCACCGAACATTACCTAGAGCGGCCATATGTTCGCTCGTCCGCACCGGCTGGAAGCCGACGAACGGAACCTGCATACTGGCCAAGGTACCGATCGCGTACCAAGACGAGTACGCGACGTATAGACGGCTGCTGAAACGGCCCATGAGGATCAGGGTCAAGGCATGAAGAGGGATCATGTTCGTTATGAAAGCATAGCCGCCTGCAAGAAAACATGTGAGGATGTGTGCAGCATTAGGGCAATTCAAGAGGAATAACACGGCCCGCACATGGTGGCCAGCCGACCCGACCCTGCATCGGCAAGCGGACATCGAGTGCTCGCGGACAGGCTCACGCATACTGCGCTCGACCCGTACTATTCCAACACACAGCAAATCATACTGACCCCATGCGGCGACCATATAGAAGTAGAACAGCGCGGTGAGTGTGCCGAAGAATGCGCTTCCAGTTTTGAGAGCCTTGATCCATGAGTAGAAGGTAAACATGAGCAAGAAGATAGCGATAGCCTCGTTGTCGTAGGAGCCGGCGACGGAGCGGGAGATATATCCAGGGGCGATGCCAATAAAGACGGCGGCGAGTAGGCCGGCACTCTCATCCTTCAATTCCTTCGTGAACCTGATGCCGATGTTAGCGGAAAGAAGCGCGCGTGATGGGGCACACGTACATGTACGTGGACCAAGCAGTGAGTGCACTGAAACCAGGCGCGAGAAGAACGCAAATGTTGCGGATGTCGACGGGTAGATTGAGCGCGTGAAGCACATTGTATATGACGCCGCTAGTCGCCATCAAACCGGGGTAGATGGTGCCTCCAACAACACGGCCGAGGGGATACCACGCAGTATGGTCGAACCAGTTCCAGAACGCCTAGATTGTGACGCATTCATATTGAACGCTTGTCAAGATGTCCTAACGCACTCACATAGAAACCCTTCTCAGCAAGAACCTTTGTTGCCCGGCTATATGACCTCACGCACTTAACCCCAGTCTTGGCTGTATGCTGTAGTACTTACTAATTAAACCATGGGTCGCTGTTAGATCGACTTCCGTGAGTACACACGAGTAAGTGGGTGTTAAATTAGTACGCACAACTCGTGAATAATACTCTCGAAGTTTACGACTGCGAAGAGACGTGACGCAATAGCAGCACCCGAGATGAGAGCTAAGGCGATGATACGCAAGAGCGAGGAAGTATTGGTGACCGTCGCAGGGGACACATCACTCGGCAGTGAGTAGGCTAATGGCATGACCGGTGTCGGGGACGCCTTGGAGGCGTTGAAGACGGAGAGAAAGGGCGAAGGAGCGGGGGGTAATGAAGGATACCTTGGCGGCGACTGCAGACGCGCTGGACACGTCGCGCGACCGTGCTATTCTCGGCTACCACGTGCCCGCAGTAGCAGCTCCCGTTATGGGCGCTTGCTTCCTCCTCCACCGTCACCTCCACGCCGTCTCCTGGGACTATTCCGACTCAGGCGAGATAAACCTCACTTAGAACTACACGTTCACAAGCCACAAACACTTCCTCTGAGGCAATAAACATCACACCAATGTCTTCCTCACGAGATGCGCGGGTAGAGGATACCTACGAGTTGCAGAACGATCAGAGGCTGGAGGAATTGCATTCCAAACTTCGCACACTACGCGGCGTACGCTAACGCACTATGTACGTTTCTTTGCATTGTAATGCTCACGAGGGTCATAGGTTACATCAGACATCTACGACGACGTCGAGCAGCAGAACTCTGCCCTCGACAATGCGGTGAGCAACTTGCTATTGTCCCACCTTGCGCATCTTCTGACCTCCTCTTGCCTACTTTCTCCATCTTCTTCCTGGCTTCTCTGTGGACCCATACTATCCCACCCTGCTTCTTGCGCTCCACTTGTACTGCACCCACAGCGCGACGCCTTCTCGTCGTTCGGCAACTCCCTCGCGCAGACCTCACGAAGAGCCGGACAGGCATTCGGCCTAACACCCGGTGGTGTGAAGCAGTTGCGGACAATAGGTTACTGCGCTGCCGCTGTCATTGGGCTGTGGATTCTATGGAAGATACTAGGATGGTTTTGGCCTTCGGGCGCAACCTCGCCATGACACCCGATCCCATCGTTGTGCCATGGGTGGTATCTCGACTGTTGTACTGTATGACCCATCCATCTTATTAACATATACCCTCGCACTCTTGATATCCGTGCTTTCTCTCGTTGATGCCCTCAGGTGTCTATTATACAACACCTTGCCAGTCTCCAGTCTCCTCGACATTGTTCGCGAGAGCTTCCAATTCTCTGCATCCCCAGACAGCGCAGCTCTCGGGCCGGTTCAGTCGGCTAAGATAAGACTTCCGTAAAAGGCAGATTTGATACCATTACGCATCAGCGTCTGTACTACGCTGCAGCACATCCTCCACGAATGCTCATCTGCTTGTACCAGATACTGTGTGCCAGTCAGATCATTCCTCGCAGTGACCCAGTTTACCAGCCATGTCAGACAAGGAGGTGCTTCTCTCTATGGGTTTTGACCCACAACGCATTCAATGTATGGTACCGTGATCGTCCTGATCTACTCACAGATGTCTCATGGTACACAGGGGCCTTGAAGGCGACCGGGAACCGCGGTCTACAACCCGCGATGGACCACATCATTGAGAACGAGGGAAAGCCCGTCCCCGATCTCTCATCCGTGTCTGAATCCTCCAGATCCGCGCCCCCTCCCACGAGTGGCGGCGGAGACGCGATGGACGCCGACGAGGATGACGATGAACTCGCTGCGCTCAAGGCTGTATATGGCAAGAAGGGTGGATCTGGGGGCGGCGGAGAGAGCTCGTCGGGAGGAACGGCGGCGACGGCGGCGGCCGAGGCCGAGGCGAAGAGCATCAAGTGCTCGGTCTGTGGGAAGACGTTCAAGAACGTCGACCTTGCGAACTACCATGCGGAAAAGAGTGGGCACGACCAATTCGAGGAGTCTACGGAGGAGGTACGCAACCTTCCCTGACGCGTTTCTGCTTCCTGCTCCTGCTGCCCGCATCACAATGGGTCCGTCCTGTCTCTCGCCGCCTGGATGTCGGTTTGTGGCATATGCTCCGGGAACGGCGGAAATTGCGAGTGGTATGTGCTGCCAGTTACTCAGGGTGAAGCGGACAGTCAACTCTACGCGCTTTGTCTCGCTGAATCGACCGCTCGCTCCAGTGCTCGGTCCGAGGAATGCACCGTGTGGAAGTCCGTGACGCGTCAGAGTCGTTTGCCGTGTCGGAAACCAGTCCGGCGTATAGGGTACAACCCTGCAACCTACACCCTGGATCTAATGCTCTGTGTGTAACTGGCTGGGGCTGAGCGCGCTGTTCTGCCAGCCGATTTCACTTGTGCATTCATCGGGAGACGGTGGAAACATCCTTCCGCGGAGGGTTCATGGCGTCTTGTTGAGTGACTTGGCTGCGTGGGCATGGAAGGTCGCTTGCCTCGAACACACTGAACTGAACCCCATAAATTACAGATTAAGCCCTTGACAGAGGAAGAGAAGAAGCAGAAGCTGGCGGAGCTCCGGGAGAAAATGGCCGCAAAGAAGGCGGCGAAGGCGAAGGAAGAGGCAAAGGAGACCCTCGCCAACGAGGCGATCCGCCGGAAGTCGGGCAAGGTACGCCCACATACGCCATGTCTGCCTGCTGCGGCTTCCATGCAGCTTTCACACTATGTCGTGTCATATGTCACGATCTGATATGTTATCCATGCGTTCGTCTGTCTACGGTCAGGACATCAACGAACTCCGGGAGGAGTTGAAACGGAAGGAGTTACTCAAGGAGGCCGAGGCTAAACGTCGCGGTACGTCTAGCCCCCATCGCTCACGTCTCCATCGTCGCTCGCCTCTCTGACACAATCACTGCGCAGAGAAAGTCGAGGATGCGAAGGCGCGGGCAGCGGTGAAGGCACAGATCGAGGCGGACAAGAAAGCGCGCGCAGAGAAGGCGGCGCGAGAGAAGGCGCTGCGCGAGGGGAAGCCGCTGCCAGACGCAGTGGAGCCGGCGAGCACTGCCAGTACTGCTACCGCTTCGGCACCGAAGGCCGGGCTGGCGGGGAAGGACTACCCCGAGACACGGCTGCAAATTAGGATGGCCAAGGGCGGGCAGCCGTACACGACGACGCTCCCAAGCGATTCCAGTACGTGCAGTGCTGTTGTTCCTCCTTGTTCCGCGTTCGCCGAGCTGATGTGGGGATCGATGGTACGTTCGTTGTCATTGACATTATAGCGCTGCGTGAGGTGGCAGAATTCTTGGCTGCGCAGACTTTGGAGGTTGACGTTGAGACGGTCAACTTCTCGCTGACGTTCCCAAGGTGCGTTCATCGTGTCTTTCCGTCCATTGTCCCGACCACCTTCTCCCACGTGTGCTGGCGTAGATGAACCGGCTGCTGATTTTGATGTCGAATCTGTGATCTATAGGAAGACCTTTGCTCGATCCGACTTTTCGCGGACACTGCGAGATCTGGGATTGACACCCTCCGCGGTAAGTCCTACCTAATCGGTGCTGGTGTCATTTAGGCGACTTTCGCTGACTTTGATTCCGCCTTTCATGGGGTAACAGGTTCTGATAGCTTCGTGACCCTGACGCTTACAGGTTTGATGATGGTGATGGTTTCACTCAACTGCGTCATGCCAGATTGCGAATTCGTGCGAAGTGTATGAGAAGTATTACGGTTGCACGTAGCCACGTCTTCAAGAATTGTATTTCTACCTTCTTGACCGTTGTCGTAGTCACGGCGCTGTGTCGCACCACAGCACTCGATCCATACTTCGAGTTCTCGTCCACGCGCTGTGGCCTCGCATCCGCGATAGCACCATCGTTGGCGGTGTTAAGACGGTAGACCTGGCGGACCGAGATTCAGAATACAGGCATTAGCATGCATCGCTGAGCGCCCCGTTCTGGGCGATGATCAAGGACGGAGGGCCGGGGGAAGTGAACGCTTCCCAGGGCTGGTGCCATCAGACATCACTCCATGCACTTGCCCATGACCGATCCTAGCAAGCCTTCGTGCTCTTCTCTTCTGTCCCTCCATGTCCCCCTGAGCTTGCTGCGCCTGCCCCCGCCCCTACCCCGAATCCTGATTTCCATCCGTGTCGATGCGCTAGCCGCCTTCGTCGACCATGGACATTCAACGCGCACGCTCGCCCCCCGCCTCCGTTACCCGTAGGCCAATTGGTCCCCGCGCCCCGGGCAGAGCGGGAACGCTTCCGGTGAAGAACATTGTTCCGCTTGACCTCGCTGCACGCCTCCAGCAGGCAGACGAGTTCGGGGCCTTCCCCCGCGCATCGTCCCCTGAATCCCTGCGAGGCAGCCCGCGCCCAGAGACCCCCGCGTCCGCCCCCGTGCCATTGCAACGGAATGCGTCTGCCTCTTCGACTTCATCTTCTACGCCGCAGCAGGTACAACAGCCAAATCTTCGACGGACCGACTCGAGTAGGAGTGAGGTCTCGACGGCGTCGACGGAGGATCATGGTGCGAGTACTGAGACATCTTCTGGGCGTCCGGCCGCGGTGGAGGAGACTGGCCAATGGAACATACCTGCTCCGGCGGACCTTGACGTAGCAAAGGTCGACCCTACTCCACCGTCTCCTACAATTCCTGATAGTGCTATCCTACCTCCGGAAGGGCCTACACCTACAGCTCCAAGGGTGTTCTCGCCGCCAATACCAGTAGAGAGACCGTCTGTTATCTCGAAGCCGCCCGCACCCGTACTCGCACATACCGCAACCCCTCCTCCTCCATCGTCGTCTGAGCTTGCCCCATCTAATTCTACCGTCCCCGCATCTGTTCCCCCTCCGCCTCCCTTGAGCGAGGGTGTACCTGGGGACAGTCTCCTCAAAACCGTTCCCCCACCACCTCCAATCGTGTCTGTGCCTTCTGGGGGCGAGTCTGGACCGACGACACCATGGACGGACGTGAGCAGGCCTCAATCAACACAGTCTTCCCAAGTCCACGATATCGTCGGCATGTACGCCCTCGATAGCCCCATTCAGGCGAAGGCGGTGGACGGAGGGAATGGACATGGGCACAGGCGGACGCTGTCTGACAAGAGCGTGCAGACAAGCATCCTTGCCTCTGAACGTCCTGGCACCCCTGCATCCACGAGCCGCGCATCGACGCCCGCTATGCTGAAAGTAGTTCCCAAACGACCGCCGCTGGCGCCCCCGCCTGGGGTGACTTTCGAGTATGAGCCCATCAAGTGGAAGCCTCTCACCCTGGAGGCTGCTCAGTGGACGTTCACTTCAGAGGAGCTCCAGGAGACCGTGTCAAGAGTTATTCGCCAATCCGCCGCCGAGCCCTTCATCCGTGTCGTACCCATACAAACCATGGACGTCGAGCTCCCACAAGAATTGGAGCGCCTGGAACAGGTACGGGTATCCTATCAGAGTAACGAACGTTCCAGATGCTGATAGCGGTCATCTTACAGTTGCGGGCGACCACCCAGGCCCAGTACCGGTTCAATATGCACCGGCGCGCGATGCTCCTCCAGTCGCTCGCCGCCTTGTCGCAACAGCCTGACACGGATGGCGAGCCGCTCTACAATCTGACGACGCAGCTCGCGGAGCTCACTACGTCCTGCGACAGACTCATGGAGACGCTCATGCGCGTCGCGGACCACAAGGCGCAGATCGCGCATTTGCAAGACCTGCACATCGCAAGTGCGCTCGCGATGGCGTTGCGCAAGCTGAACGCGTCCTACGCGAAACGTAGTGCGGAGTTGACCGAGACGCGCGCGCGCAACGACGAGCTCCAGGCAGAGCTCGAGGAGGCGTGGAACCTCGCGCAGGACATGGCGCAGGAGATGGACGACCTCGACAACTTCAACCTCGACTTCTCTGATGACGACTGGACTCCTGACCGCGAGTTCAGCGAGGCGGCGGAAGGCCACGGCGACGTCCGGCGAAGCTCTCATCAGTCCCATCATACCGCCCATGACGAGGAGCTGTCGTACTCGGCGCTCGAGGCGGAGATCCACAGTGACATGGACAGAATGTCGGGCGTTTCGAGCTTCCGCAACGCCGAGGTTATAGAGATCACTGGGAAGGCCGTCGCAACGAAGGCTGTGGTGGTGGCAAATGGCGCGCGCGGCACGCCTGAGCCCCACAAGCCTGGAGATCGTACCAGCCGTGTGTCTGCAGCCAAGAAACGGAGCAGCAGGACGTCGAAGGCTAGCTTACGAATACCGAAGACGCCTACGGACAGAAACGGCGAGCGTCGAGAACGTCCTGACCGGTCGTCAATCTACTCGCTCCGTCGCCGGGCGAGTCGCAGCAGGAGTCTCAGGCGTACAGGGGGCCATGATGCTCCTGGCGAGGATTCGAAAGACGTTCCTCAAGTTCCGATCATCCGTCTCCCCGAACCGAAGAGCCGTGAGGGCTCGTTCCTGGAACTCGAGGGGACGCGATCAGCTTCCCCGGTTGCTTCGATCTCCGGGCCACCGCCACCATTGCCTCCCAAAGATGGTCTTGGTCTCAACCCAGGCCTAGGGATGAGCATCGCTGCGTGTGAGTTTGTCTCTTGTTTTGAGACAACGGGCCATCTGACGTAGTTACTTGGCGGTGTAGCGCGCTCGGAGGAAGTCCTCCCTTCGCAATATGGCTCTGAGTCTCCCCAACCGTCGACAAACGATGAAGGCCTCCCGTCCATCAACATTCCGGATGAGGACGAGCCGGGGCCTCTACCCTCTCAGCAACACGGCCCGCCATCCTCATGGCGTACCCGCAATTTCTTCAGGCGTCGAACTCAGTCGATGCAGCCGTCACAGCGGCCCGCGGACGACGATACGGCCGCGATGGACGGAGGAAGCCAGTCGCCTCTCAAGCGATCGGCTTCGGAGACCAAGCATTTTGACGGATGGCCGTTCCTTGGTGCATCCAAGTCGCAGAGATTCTCTGTTCCTACTCCCGTGTTGGCTGTGATGCAGAAGAACCGGAAATCGAGTGACAGTGCGCCTGCCGGCCAGCAGTGAGATGAATCGTCCTCAACGCGCCGTCCATACTTCCTCCCGCGATCATATCATCAACATTCCGTCGCTTTCTTTGGCTAACTTGTACCATCCGGCTGGTTTGGATCTTGTATTTTGAGTGAGTGGTTTCCTCCGCCTTGCATTTCATACCCCGAGTGCTCATCTTTGCCTTTCATCTTGTAGTTGTCGTTATCGCCTTATGAGTATCCATCTGTTATCCATACATCGTAATATCGCTTTGCATCATATCTTCGGGCCCTTCACAATGATTCCGCACAGCACACCTCACTCATTTATTCTCTCCCCATATCCCAGATACCTCATCAGTCTGTCTTTCGTCTTGGTTTCCCGTGTTTCATACCGAGAGCACAGTGCGACTGTCTGCTCCCATTATCCCCTGCTGTACCATAGACTTCCTGGGCCCCTAATGCTGCAGCCACAACCTCGGTACACGCTCATCTGTATTGCTACTCTACACATCATTCCATTTATGCATTCATAGGTCTCCGGACGTCCCGCCGAAAAGCTGCCTCAGCCGAACCAACAAAACTCGAGCTAGATGGACGCTTGCTGCCGCAGTTGAACCACTTGCTGTCTATCATTGCCTGTGTCATACTGCATCATAAGACTAGAAACCAACTAATAAGTTCCCGTTCCTAGTGTTGAACCCGGGGGGCGAAGGCCTCTCCCGCGGGTGGCAACGACAGCGGATAGCCTGCAACTCACCTAGAAGGGTTGTTGGTTGTAAGAGGCTTGTTAGAGCGATGAGAGGAGATGTTCGAGTGAACTGAACTGTAGATTGGGGGTACAGAGGTCCCCTATATATACTACTGTACATCTGTGGCTACGTAGTACTATACAGTA